CATCAATTGAGAGGACCATATGGTTCTTCTCCCTCCTCTTATTAATGTGTTGTATCACATTGATTGATTTGCGAATGTTGAACCACCCTTGCATCCCGGGGGATAAATCCCACTTGGTTGTGGTGGATGATCCTTTTAATGTATTGTTGGATTCTATTAGCTAGGATTCTGTTGAGGATTTTGGAATCCATATTCATCAGGGATATCGGTCTGAAATTCTCCTTTTTGATGGGATCTTTACCTGGATTGGGGATTAAGGTAATGCTGGCCTCATAGAATGAGTTTGGAAGTTTTCCTTCTGTTTCTATTTTTTGAAACAGCTTCAGTAGAATAGGTATTATTTCTTCTTTGAATGTTTGGTAGAATTCCCCAGGGAATCCACCAGGCCCTGGACTCTTGTTTTTTGGGAGGTTTTTGATCACTGCTTCAATCTCGTTACTAGTTATTGGCCTATTCAGGTTGTCAATTTCTTCCTGTTTCAGTCTTGGCAGCTTAAAGGTTTCCAGGAGGGCATCCATTTTTTCCAGGTGTTGCTCAATTTATTGGCATATAGTTGTTGATAATAATTTCTAATAATTGTTTGTTTCCTTGGTGTTGGTCATGATCTCTTCCCTTTCATTCATAATTTTATTAATTTGGGTCCTTTCTCTTTTCTTTTGGTAAGTGTGGCCAGTGGTTTATCGATCTTATTAATTCTTTCAAAGAACCAACTTCTAGTTTCATTGATCTGATCTACTGTGTTTCTGGTTTCTAATTCATTGATTTCTGCTCTAATTTTAATTACTTCTCTTCTAATGCGTGGCTTAGGCGTCGTTTGTTGCTTTTTCTCTAGTTCTTTAAGGTTTAGAGTTAGTCGGTGAATTTGGGATCTTTCTATTTTTTTGAGTGAGGTTTGGATGGCTATGTATTTCCCCCTTAGGACCGCCTTTGTAGTATCCCATAGGTTCTGGAGCGATGTGTTTTCGTTCTCATTGATTTCCATGAATTGTTTAAGTTCTTCTTTTATTTCTTGGTTGACCCAGACATTCTTGAGCAGTGTGGTCTTTAGCTTCCAAGTGTTTGAATTTCTGCCAAATTTTTTCTTGTGGTTGAGTTCCAGTTTTAGAGCATTGTGGTCTGAGAATATGCAGGGAATAATCACAGTCTTTTGGTATCGGTTGAGACCTGATTTGTGACCCCGTATATGGTCTATTCTGGAGAAAGTTCTATGTGCACTCGAGAAGAATGAGTCTTCTGTTGTTTTTGGGTGGAATGTTCTGTAACATTGAGGCCCATCTGGTCCAATGTATCATTCAAAGCTCTTGTTTCTTTGCTGATTTTCTGCTTAGATGATCTGTCCATTGCTGAGTGTGGAGTATTGAGGTCTCCTACAATTAATGTATTGTTATCAATATGACTCCTTATTTTGGTTAACAGTTGGCTTATGTATATGGCTGCTCCCATGTTGGGGGCATAGATATTTACAATTGTTAGATCTTCTTGTTGGATAGACCCTTTAAGAATGATAGAGTGTCCTTCTGTGTCTCTTATTACAGACTTAAGTTTAAAATCTAATTTGTCTGATATAAGAATTGCTATCCCAGCTTTCTTTTGAGGTCCGCTGGCATGGAAGATGGATCTCCATCCCTTCACTTTCAGTCTGGATGTATCTTTAGGTTCAAAATGAGTCTCTTGTAGACAGCATATGGATGGGTCCTGTCTTTTGATCCAATCTGCAACCCTGTGCCGTTTTATGGGAGCGTTTAGGCCATTCACGTCGAGAGTGATTATTGAATGATATGAATTAATTGTCATCATGTTGCCTGTGAAGACGTTGTTTTTATAGATTGTTCCTGTAAATTTCTGTCGTAGATCACTCTTGGGGTCTTTCTCCTTTTATAGAAGCCCCCTTAATATTTCTTGCAGGGCCGGCTTAGTGGTCACATATTCTTTCAACTTCTGCCGGTCGTGGAAGCTCTGCATCTCTCCATCCATTCTAAATGACAGCCTTGCTAGATAAAGTATTCTTGGCTGCGTGTTCTTCTCATTTAGTACCCTGAATATGTCTTGCCAGGCCTTTCTGGCTTGCCAGGTCTCTGTGGATAGGTCTGATGTTATTCTGATGTTCCTCCCTCTGTACGTAAGGAATCTCTTCCCCCTAACTGCCCTTAAGATGGTTTCCTTGGTTCTAAGATTTGCAAGTTTTACTATTACATGCCGGGGTGTTGGCCTGTTTTCCTTGATCTTAGGAGGGGTCCTCTCTGCCTCTAGGACTCGAATGTTTGTTTCATTCCCCAGATTAGGGAAGTTCTCAGCTATGATTTGCTCAAATACATCTTCTAGCCCTCTCTCTCTCCACTCCCTCCGGGATTCCAATTATTCTGACATTGGAACGCTTCATGGCGACACTTATTTCTCTAATTCTGTTTTCATGGATTCTGAGTTGTTTTTCCCTGGCCTCCTCTTTTCCCTTTTTATCTATTATACTGTCTTCCAGGTCGCTTATTTGTTCTTCTGCCTCAGTTACCGTAGCTGTTAAGATGATCTAGATTGGATTGGATCTCATTGATAGCTTTTTTAAGTTCTGCCAATTCACCTTTTATTTCTGCCCTTAGAGACTCCATGTTGCCATTAATTGATTTCTCCATTCTAGCCATTGTCTTCACAATTGCTAGCTTGAATTCCATCTCTGACATCTTGGTTATATCTGCATCCATTTGTAAATCTGCAGCATAAGTCATATTCTCTGAGTCTTTTCTGTTTTGGGGGCTCCTCCTCCTAGTCATTCTGTTGATGGGTGTTTGAGGGAATGTAGAGTCTAAATTATTGACCAGACCCCAAGCAAGATGCACCTGTTTTCTTGGGACCTTAGGGTTGCTGGCCTTTTGTTTTCCCAGCCTGTCTTATGTGGGAGGGGCCTGCCGCGCTGTTACTAGGCAACCCTGTTTGGGCGGAGTTGCCCTGCGCCCCTGTGGTGGGGGATGTGCTCATTGGAAATCAGTCTTTGGGGCTTTTGTTCTCTGGCGCCTTTCCCTGGCGGCTTTCCGCGTCTCCTCCGCGAGTCAGAGTAGAAGAGACCGTTTCCAACCCTCTGCCTCAGAGCAGAGAGACCACAGTCTGTTCTTCAGTGAGCTCTCCAGGCCACACTGTCTCTGTTTATGTCTGTGCCGCTATAAACTGCAGTGTCCTGGGTTGTGCGCCCCTCCGCAGTGCTCCCAGTCTTGTCTCCAGATTGGGGCACGTCTCTCCCCTTTGTGCTTCTAAACCTGCCAGCCGCTCCCAGTTCATGTGCGCACAACTGCCCTGCTTCGGGTTTCTGTTCTGGGGATTGCAGTTCGCGTGCACGCGACTCCGCCACTCGGGGTTTCCACCCCTGGGGTTGCAGTTCACCAGCGCGACCCCAGAGCACCGGGTTTCGTCTGGAGGCTGCAGTTCGCGTGCACGTGGCTCCATAGCTCCAGGTTTCTGTCCGCGGGGCTGCAGTTCGCATGCGCGCGATGTCGCTGCTCTGGTTTTCCACCCCAGGGGCTGCCCTAAAGTCCTTTCCCGACGCTACCGGTCTGCGAGTCTGTGCCCCGTCCGCGGCGTGCGAGGCTCTCACTCACCGGCGGTGTAAGATCCCCACGTCCAGGCACCCTTCGGCTGCCATTTATCCTCCGATATCTGCCTGCAGAATCACGGCTCTCCGCTTTGTACCTCAAAACCACTGCCTGTGATATTCTGTTTGTAGAGATCCAGATCTTCTTACATCTCAGGCTGGTTTCGTGGGTGCTCAGAGTGGTCTGGTAGATATCCAGCTCAATTCCGGGAACCAGTTGAAATAGGGTCCCCTACTCCTCCACCACCTTTCCCCCCTCCTGAAGGCAGATGCTTAACCGCTTAACCGACTTAGCCACCCAGGCGCCCCTCTTCTTGAATGTTTAAAAACTTAAAATTCCGGGCCCCTGGGTGGCTCAGTCGTTAAGCGTCTGCCTTCGGCTCAGGTCCTGATCCCTGGGTCCTGGGATCGAGTCCCACATTGAGCTCCCTGCTCTGCGGGAAGCCTGCTTCTCCCTCTCCCACTCCCCCTGCTTGTGTTCCTGCTCTTGCTATGTCTCTGTCAAAAAAATAAATAAAATAAAAAACAAAAAAACCAAAAAAAACCTTAAAATTCCAAGGTAATTGAATGTAGTGATTTAAGATATTCCTTGTCCTTTGTTTTGTTTTGTTTTGTGTTCATCAGTGTAGGATCCGATGACATATGCCTTACAGACTGAAAAAGTGTGATTTCTATAGACTTTTTTCACATAATGGTGAGGGTTGAGAACAATGAAATCACATACTACTACCTAGCACTAACCATTGGTACTATCCTGGTCTAAGAGGTAGGTCCAGATAGACTCTCTAGCAATGAAAGTAGATAGTCTCAAGAGGTTATACTTTATAAAACCAGAATCACTAAAATCACTAAAATCTTTCATACTTACCTGCAATTAGAAATAAGGCCAGAGGGAGTCTGTTTGCTATGTTTTGCCATGCTGCAAAGTACAGTGGCTATAGGCCAAACTTTGTGATGAGATGTTTCATCCTAAACTTAACAGTCTCTGCTGAAGAGCTTGAGAAGTTCTGTTGTTACAGCAAAATAAATACAGTCTCTTTTAACTGCTCCTAGTAGTGGAAGTCCAGAAGAATCATGTTATTTAGGTTTGACATTGTCTGTCTATGATAATGATTCTGCTAATGATACCATTTTCTGTCAGTCTCATAGTGTTTGGTTACAATTATGGTCATTATAAACATTCACTTGTAGGTATCAAATTCTGATAAATACCATTCTTTTCTTGCATTTGGTAAATGTAGAGGAGAAAGTAAGATTTCTTAATGCATTAACTGCCTACCAGTAATATAATTAATATTCATTCCAGTGTACTTTCCAGGTGTGATCTTGAAGGAATACTTTTTAACAAATCATCAGTCTTATACTTTTAATATTCTGTATTTTTCTATTGTTGATTTAAAATGTATTTTGCTTTTTTCTTTAGTGGCAGATAAGAGTTCTGAAGAAGAGTCTTTAAGCAGGTAGGATTTTTATGGAGTCTTTAAAATTATGTGTTAACTAAGGGAATGCAGAGAAAAGCATTTGTTGAGTTCTGTTCTGGGCTAGACACTATATTATGTGCTTGACATTTATTACTTATATAGTCATTACAATAGCTTCACAAAGTAGCTCTGCTATTATAGCCTATTTTTTATTAGTCAGCTGTGGTGCAGGGAGGTTGATTAATTGACCTGTGATTACATAGTTAATGAGTAGCAGACCCATGATTTGACTGTCAGCCTGTGTGACTCCCATCTCCATTCTTTTGTCCCTCAGCAACACTGGGATTAAGATACAGATCCTAGTCAGATCAACTTGGTCAAATTTAGTTATGTGTTAACCCTGATTTAGAGTTTTCTTAAGAAACCAGGTTAGTTCAAGCATTTGTCCTAATATATTTGACAACTAATGATAACTAGAGGTAATTACTGCAGTGGTAACTAGTCTGTTGTTTTTACTGTCAAAGATTTTAGGGTGGATCTCAGTTACCTATGGCCACAGTACATAGCTTTTACATAAGCAAGACCTAATCAGGCAAATTCTTAGATATAGTGATGTCTGCTCTCCTTGAGATGAATGATTTTTCCAGAAGTGAAGGATATGTAATCTAGGTGTAGACCATGTTACATTAATTAAATTTATCATCTATTTAGAGGATATTTCTAAATTATTCTCTACTTACTGACTTCCCAGTCTAGTTTTCCCTAGGCTAGTACCCTTGACTAGTTCTTTGAAGCTTCTTCTTTTTTTTGTAGACCTTTTTCTTTTTCTCCATGACTTTTCTGTAATCTTTTCTTGATTTTTTTTTTTTACTTTGTTCTCTGCTTTTCTTGGTGTTTCTTTTAGTCCATTAATTGTTTCCATTTCTGCCAGCTAAATAGTCTCTGTGTTTCTATAGACAAAATCAAAAGCACATAGAATTTCAGGATCTTAAGGAATCTTAGAGATGAATTAATCAAAATACCCTCTGGTACTGCAACCTATGTTCAACATCCTCCCACCAAGTGGTTGTTTAAATGGAGAATTTGAAACCCAAAAGAGATTAAAAGTGACTTATTTGGATATGATAAGTGACAGAAATGAGATTTAAATTCAGGTTTTTTCCTTTTTTCTCATCTTGTAGGTAAATGTTTTAATAATTGAAAGATGGGGAGGGGGTCTTGTGAACACAGTGAAGGGGGGTAAGGAAGGAATTAGCAGGAGAGGCCAAGTTTCAAGAAGAATAACACTGGTTTGGATAGTTTTAGAAAAGATGTCAAAATATTGGGGTTTATGATAAGTTAGATAAAGATGAATTATAGGAATGAAGGATACACACACACACACACACAAAGGAATGAAGGGCACAGGATATTGGGAGTTGTTTAGAAAGGCATACTAAAATAGAGGGTTGAAGAGAATCTTGAGCAGCTTTTTTGTTTGTTGGTTTAATTGAATGAACTAGCATACTTCAGGTTTTCTGTTGAGAGATATTAAAATCATTTGAGCCACTGGGAAGAATCTTTTTACAGCATATAAGAATGTGATATCATCTACTTCCACCCCAACTTACAGAGAGTGGCTTAGATCCTCTTGAGTAATAGGCGCAATGGAGACTCTACACAACATAGATGTATGGCCCAAGGTAGCGGTCTCCTCACTCCACCTCTTTTCTTAATTCTCTGATGCCCTGCCCATGTACATGTAGGGTTTGGTGGGGTACGACTGGCTGTCAAATCAGTAACAGAGTTTTATTTGGGTAGTTGGTAACATGTCTACATTGAGATGACTCCATGGATGACTGAAACTCCATTTCGCTTGTTCTCCAGGAGCAGGAAATGGCTCCTACTCTTGGACATTTGAGCCTATCCTTGTTTTGGGAGTCTGTGCTTTCATAGGCTAAAGACTTAAAGGTTGGAGAGTACCACTGAGCCCTGCAGAAGAGTGATAATAGGTGTGGGAACTCACAGGAAGAAAATATTAGGCAGTGTATAGGGAAATAGAGGCACAGCTACCCGGACTCTGTTTTTATAGCAGTCTCTCTTCTTGGGTATCTGAGTGCCTATGAAGGTTTTTAAGGTCTTGCTCGTTTATGTAGACCTAAATAAGGCAGGACCTGTGAAGGAAAAAATTTGAACCTTATAATTTTTAATCTTTTAATTTGGGAATAGTATTCCCACTAATAACATAAATTTGTTCTTTAACATTTATATATTTATTTATTTCTTTTAATTGAAGCATAGTTGACACAAGATGTTATGTTAGTTTCAGGTGTACAAGGTAGTGGTTGAACAACTCTATATGTTACACCATGCTTACCACAAGTGTAGCTACTATCTGTTACTGCATAATGCTATTACAATACCATTGACTATATTCCCTATGTTGTACTTGTATCCCTGTGACTTACTATAACTGGAATCCTGAACCTCCCATTCCCCTTCACCCATTTTGTCCGTCCCCCAACCCTTCCCTTCTGGCAATACAGAATTCCTTCTATTTCTGTGTCTATTTCTGCTTTTTGTTTGTTCATTTGTTCTGCTTTCTAGATTCTACATATAAGTGAAATCATACAGTATTTGTCTTTCTCTGACTATTTCACTTAGCATAATACCCTCTAGGTACATCTACATTGTTGCAAATGGCAAGATTATATTCTTTTTTATGGCTGAGTAACATTCCTCTGTGTGTATATGTGTGTGTGTAAGAGATACATCTGTTGATGTACTCTTGGGTTGTTTACATATATTGGCTGTTGTAAATAATGCTGCAGTAAACATGGGAGTGCATATATCTTTTCAAATTAGTGTTTTCATTTTCTTTGGGAAAGTAAATAACCAGTAATGGAATTACTGGATCTTGTGTTATTTCTATTTTTAATATTTCAAGGAACCTCCATACTGTTTTTCACACCATTTTCTATCCCCATCACCAGTGCACAAAGGTTCCTTTTTCTCTACATCCTCACCAACACTTGTTTTTTGTGTTTTTGATTGTAGCCATTCTGACAGATGTAGGGTGATAATTCATTGTGGTTTACTTTTGAACAATTAACTTGCAAACATTTCAGAGAATTCCTTGCCTGTCACTCTTAGTTATGGGAACTAAGACTGGGTCTTTACTAGGTATTTCACATCTTTGGAGAGGTGGAGGCAAGAAGATAATGAAAACCTTTTTAAAAACAGAGACCAAATTTTGAAAGACCTGTACTCTAACAACTATAAAACATTGATGACAGAAATTGTGTCAAGACAGAAGAAGTGGAAAGACGTTGCATGCTCATGGATGGGAAAAACACATATTGTTAAAATGTCTGTACTACCCCAGGCTATCTACAGATTTAATGCAATGCCTATTAAAATACCAACATTTTTCACAGAACTAGAACAAACAATCCTAAAATTTGTATGGAACCACTGAAGACCTCGAATAGCCAAAGCAATATTGAAAAACAAATTGGAAGTATCACAATTCCAGATTTCAAGTTATATTACAAAGCTGTAGTCATCAAAATAGTATGGTAGTGGCAAAAAACAAATATAGATCAGTGGAATAGAACAGAAAACCCCAGAAATAAACCCATAACTCTATGGTCAATCAATCTTTGACAAAGCAGGAAAGAATATCCAATGGAGAAAAAGCAGTCTTTTCAACAAATGGTGTTGGGAGAACTGGACAGCTACATGCAAAAGAATGAAACTGGACCACTTTCTTTAAAAATAAACTCAAAGAGCGCCCGGGTGGCTCAGTCGTTAAGCATCTGCCTTCGGCTCAGGTCATGATCCCAGGGTCCTGGGATTGAGTCCCACATCGGGCTCCCTGCTCTGCGGGAAGCCTGCTCCTCCCTCTCCCACTCCCCCTGCTTGTGTTCCTGCTCTCGCTGTGTCTCTCTCTGTCAAAAAAATAAATAAAATCTTAAAAAATAAATAAATAAATAAAATAAAAATTAAAAAAAATAATAAAAATAAACTCAAAAATGGGTTTAAGACCTAAATGTGACATCTGAAATCATAAAAATACTTGAAGAGAACACAAGCAATAATCTCTCTAATATTGGATGTAGCAGTGGTTTTTTGTTTTTGTTTGTTTGTTTGTTTTTCTCTATGTCTCCTGAGGCAAGAGCAATAAAAGCAAAAATAAACTGTTGGGACTACATCAAAATCAAAAGCTTTAAGTTATCTAAACATCAAAATCAAAAGCTTCCTTGCACAGTGAAGGAATCAGTCCACAAAATGAAAAGGCAACCTATGAATAGGAGAAGATATTTGCAAATGACATATCTGATAAAGGGTTAGTATACAAATATAAAGAACTGATAGAACTCAACACCCAAAACACAACCCGGTTGAAAAATGATCAGAACACCTGAACAGAGATTTTTCCAAAGAAAACATACAGATGGTCAACAGGCACATAAGAGGATGCTCAACATCACTCATCATCAGGGAAATGCAAATCAAAACTACAATGAGACACCACTGCACACCTGTCAGAATGACTAAAATCAAAAACACAAGAAGGTGAGGATGTGGAGGAAAAGGAACCCTCTTGGATTGTTGGTGGGAATGCAAACTGGTGCAGCCACTGTGGGAAACAGTATGGAGTTTCCTCAAAAAGTTAAAAATAGAACTACCCTATAATTGAGTAATTGCACTACTGGGTATTTACCAAAAAATACAGAAACACCAATTCAAAGGGATACATGCACCCCTGTGTTTACTGGAGCATTATTTACAAGAGTCAGCCCAAGTGTCTATTGATAGATGAATGGGTAAAGAAGTGATATACATACACAATGGAATATTATTCAGGCATAGAAAAGAATGAAATCTTGCTATTTGCAATGAAATGGGTGGAACTAGAGAGTATTATGCTAAGTGAAGTCAGTCAGAGAAAGACAAATACCATATGATTTTACTCATATGAATAATTTAAGAAACAATAAAAATGAGAAAAGGGGAAAAAAAAAGACAAACCAAGAAACAGACTTAACGATAGAGAACAAATTGATGGTTACCAGAGGGGAGATGGGTAGGGAAATGGGTGAAATAGGAGATAGAGATTAAGGAATGCACTGTCATGATGAGCACTGGGTGATGTAAGGAATTGCCCTATTATTATATTGTATACATGGAACTAATATAGCACTTGTATGTTAATGATACAGGAAAAATAAAAACAACAAAAACAGAGGCCAAATTTTAAGTATATCAAGAAACTTCATTCAGTAAATAGCTGACCTTTCATTCGATTTTTCTTTTTAATGAACTTGTTTTTGTTGTATGTTTTTGCTCTAAAGTATTTCCATTAAACCTGGTACTGATGATTCATGGCCTACATCAGATGATGAAGACTTTAATTTTGATATCAAGGTAAAGTACTCTTGTGAAATTTGTTTTCCTGCTCTGAATTTAGTTTGTATATTATTTACTCTTAAAATTTAGCAGTGGCCTACCTATCATCATTTAATGTTTGTAATGGAAAGTGGGTCAGAACAAACCATTTTGTAGAAATTTTTTTTAAAATTTTTTTTTACTCTGGTAAATACTGAAGGTGGAGGCTGAAAAAAGTGGGCTGGAAAATATATAATGACAGGAAAATTACACTGGGAAAAGCTTTTCCATAATGGAGGAAATAAGATATTTGGTCAAGGATAAGGATTTTTCTGTAAGTTTTAGTTATCTTAACATGAGTTTTCTTTCTTAATATGACATTTATAATACTCATGCCTAAATGAAATCTTTAGTGGATTCAATTATTGCGGACATTTTTTCCCTTGGTAACATATAGTTTTACAAAAGACTTTTTTTTCTCTATTTTTATCCTTTGTTGTACATTTAGACTAAAATAATATTAGAAATTGTGGAAATTCAGAAATTTAAATTGTTTCTCAAAATTTATATTGCAAAGGTATTCCACTGTGTTTTCAAAATAATTCCATTAAGAGTATAGTTAAAACGTTATCTAAGTGAAGAATACATGTTTTGCCTAAAATAATAATCAGCTCTAGAAGCAGAGGCTCTTCATACCCATATGGTAAAATGTCCAATTTCAGAAATCTTTTATATTACAGTTTTTAAAAATATCTACTCAATCTTTGTATCAGATTCTACAATTTAAAATTTCATTCTTATTTAAATATTCATTTTAAAGCCCCTGCATCATTATAAGCTACTGGATGTTAGGAAATGTAATTGTGCATCTCCTGGAACACCTAGAATAAAGTCTTGCTTGGAAGAAGCAATTTAATATTTTTTGAATGTGAATAAATGAGCAGACAGATGGAATTCTGTATAATGGAATGTTATAAGTAATGTGCATAGTGTGTCATAATTAAATACATGAATTTTTAAAAATATGGCTCAAATTTATATTCCTATTTTTTAAAAAGATTTATTTATTTGAGAGGGAGAGAGACCACATGAGAGTGGGGAGGGTCAGAGGGAGAAGCAGACCCCCTGCTGAGCATGCGCCCCCCCCCCCGTCCCCCCCCCAATGCGGGACTCGATCCCGGGACTCCAATATCATGATCTGAGCCGAAGGCAGTTGCTTAACCAACTGAGCCACCCAGACGCCCTATATTCCCTTTTTATGTTTAAGATTTATAAGTGCAAATGAATGATGTTGAGGAAATAAATAAATAAGGTTACAGTATATTTTTTAGTATCCTCTAATTGTGAACTGAGAAATTTTTTTTTTTAAGATTTTATTTATTTATTTATTTGAGAGAGAGAGAGAAACAGCATGAGAGGGGAGAGAGTCAGAGTGAGAAGCAGGCTCCCCGCAGAGCCAGGAGCACGATGTGGGGCTCGATCCCAGGACTCTGGGATCATGACCTGAGCCAAAGGCAGATGCTTAACCAAGCGACTGAGCCACCGAGGTGCCCCATGAGCTCAGAATTTTAGATAAAAATTCCTCAACTTTTTTAACCTCATCTGTGTCTCATTAGATATATCCTTTCAAGGTGTACATTTCTACTTAGAATTCTCTTTACCAATTCTTTCTCCAAGTGGAAAGTTGATGTGTTAGAAACATTTCTTTTTCTAATTTTTTCTCTCTGTAGTAATAATTTATAATTTTCAGGTACTGATAAGGTAAAGGTAAGTGGAAAAAAATTTTTCAGTATATGTAAATATGATTATGGATATACTATAAACAGAAGTCTCTTAAATTTTTTGAATTACATATTATAAATATATTATGTATATATTGTAAATATATACATTACATATATATTATAAATATATCTAAAACAGAGGCTTTTGTTCATAGTATATCCCCAATAACACTGACTTTTCTCACTCTACAATTATTTGTTTATAAATACTGTAGTAAAGAATTTAATTTTTTCACTATAAAGTAAATTGTTGGGGTGCAGGTGCCCCTTCAGATCACTATGTTTGTATCCTTTGGATAAATACCTAGTAGTGCAATTGCTGGGTTGTAGGGTAGCTTTATTTTTAACTTTTTGAGGAAGAATTTATATAATAATCAGTTAGGGGTAAGGAAAATAACATTTTGGGACTAGCTATTAAATCTCTCATAATCCTCATCCCAGGAGAAAATATAGGCTTTGTAAATGGCAGAACTGAGATTTGAATCTCCATTTGAATGATTCCAAAACCTGTGTTCTCTGTGTAGTGGTGCTCATTGATAATGGGGAATATTATAATTATTTTACCAAATTTGATACTTGTAATCCTTAAAACTATTAATTTTTTTCTAGACTGTCCCAAAACCAAACTTAAGAGCGCTAATGAATGCTTCTGAGCAATTCAAGAATGGTAAGCTATTTGAAGACGTGCTATTCACTGATTTTTGTCCATTCTTGTATTATTCAGTAATTCGAAATTACAGATATTTTCATGTTCTTTTTATTTTGTTTTTTACTAAGTGGGAACAAAATGTGGCCTTATAACACTAGGAGGTAGAACTTTATCTGAGCATGATAATTCTGATTATGAAGATGAAAATATAGTTGGACTTCTTTACAAACCACCATTCAAAGCCAATGACTTTTCTTGTCCTGCTTTTTCAAAACCTTCTGTCAAGTCGTTAGCAGGCCATGGTGTTATAAAGGTAAGTTTTTCTGTTTTTAGCTTTTTTCCCTATTTTTTTTTTCACATACCATCCTGTTGATCCTTATAATGAAAAGAATCTTAGGAAAAAACGGAAGTCCTCAAGATCATAAGGGGAAATAATATAATAACAACAGAGAGGTAAGTACCAGATTGAGATTTATAAAGGTTGGTGGGAGTAAACAATTCTTAGGTATGCCATTATGGAAGGAAAGAATTAGAAAGCAACTGGAAAGAACAACTAGATGGATGTGAAGATGAGGGAGGGGGTGGGGGGAAGAATTAATTTAAGAAGGGCAAGATGGATGTAAAGATTGAAGAGTTGAGAGAGATTATTATAAAAAGACAACAGCAGTAGTGAGGCTAAGGGAGAGCAGATACTCTATATTACAAAATATGGTAGAAATTATTTTAAGTGCAAAATAAGAAAACAAAGTCAAGTAATAAAAAAAAATTCTTGACTCTTCTGAATGACTTACAGCTGACTTTTATGAAGAACTGGAAGAAAATTTTATCCTTCCATTTAAGTTTAATAAAGTGTGCTATCTTATATTTAATTTAGCAAAACCTGTGTTTATAGATAATGCAAAGTGAAATCTGTTTTAGGCCTTAATCAGATTTATTATGAATTTTGAATTTTTGGCCATTGTCTTTCTTGTGGTTTCTTTCTTTCTTTTTTTTTTTTTTTTTAAGATTTTATATATTTATTTTTGTGAGAGAGAGAGTGTGAATGCATGAGCAGGGGGAGGTGCAGAGGGAGAAGCAGACTCCCCACTGAGGAGGGAGCCTGATGCAGGACTCAATCCAAGGATCCTGGGTTCATGACCTAAGCTGAAGGCAGACTCTAAACCAACCGAGCCACCCAGGTGCCCTTTCTTGTGGTTTCTGATTTAACTTCCTGTGTGGTAGAATCTTGGTAGGTTTTAGATCTTTTTGAGACTAAAGAGAGGAAATAAGTAAACATTTAGTCTTTTCATTAATTAAAACTGAAATTTCTGATTATGTAAGTGAGGTTCTTAATCTTTATCCAATAAATGAAATAAATTTTAAGCTGTAACACTCTTAAAGAAAAAATAGAAAATTTTGTTTCTGGATTGTGATTTATAATTTATTTTTAATTGTATCTGCATTTAATAGATACACAGACACACATCAAATGAATGAACTCACAATTTATAGTTTTTTTTCTAATATGAACTGTTTATCATTGTAGAATCGTAAGGAAGGAAAGGTTGCCAACAGAGTATACAGAATTATTTCTGGAAGATGATTTTTACTTTTTCAAATATCTCCAATAGTAGATACATTTTATATTATTCTCAGGAAACTTTAGTATTCATCGTTGTTAATTTTTGTTTTTGTTTTAGATTTAAAAAATTTTAAGTAATCTCTATACCCGACATGGGGTATAGAGAGACTCTGGGGGAGGGTCAGAGGGAGAGGAAAAGAGAGGGAGGGAAGCAGACTCCCCACTGAGCATGGAGCCTGATTTGGGACTCAATCTGACAAATCTGAGATCATGACCTGAGCCAAAATCAAGAGTCAGATGCTTAACCAGCTGAGCCACCCAGGTGCCCACTAACTTGCCTTTATTAATAAAAGTCTATCTTCGGGGCGCCTGGGTGGCTCAGTTGGTTAAGCGACTGCCTTCGGCTCAGGTCATGATCCTGGAGTCCCTGGACCGAGTCCCGCATTGGGCTCCCTGCTCGGCAGGGAGTCTGCTTCTCCCTCTGACCCTCCCCCCTCTCATGTGCTCTCTCTCTCATTCTCTCTGTCAAATAAATAAATAAAATCTTTAAAAAAATAAAAATAAATAAATAAAAGTCTATCTTCTATCCTTGAAACTAATGTTGAAGTATATAAATGAAATATTGAATCCCATGGTTTTCCCCCCCTGCTTTTATTTTTATTCTGAAAATTTCAGAGTTCTGTGTAGGTTTACATTATTTAATTATATCAGGTTAGTATATTTTATAGATATTTATGTTTTATTAACATCATGTGCTTTTCCTGTCATTTTTTCCTACTCCAAATGTATTTGTGTAAAACTTTCTCCTTAAGTCTCCTGGGTGCTTCCATTTGGTATGTCCCAGATTGAAGACATTGTTTCTGACCCATTCCTCTACCCTGACTTTTTGTAATCTGCTTTGTCATTTGTTTTCCCCATCCTAGTATATTGTGCCACTGAAACACTGAAGCAGGAAAAATCCTGGACTGCAAACTTCCCTGAAATTACTACATCCAGGGGCACCTGGGTGGCTCACTTGGTTAAGCATCCGACTCTTGATGTTGGCTCAGGTCATGATCTCAGGGTCCTGGTATCAAGCCCTGTTACAGGCTCCATACTGAGTAGGGAGTCTGCTTGAGGATTCTCTCTCTTCCTCTCCCTCTGCCCCTCCCCCTGCACGCACACACACTCTCTCTCTCAAAATAAGTAAATCTTTAAAAAAAAAAATCACCACATCTCTACCTCTGAAACCAGTAATACATTATATGTTAATTAATTGAATTTAAATTAGAAAAAGGGACGCCTGGGAGGCTCAGTCAGTTAGGGGGCTGCCTGCCTTCAGCTCAGGTCATGATCCGGGGGTCCTGGGATTGAGTCCCAAGTTGGGCTCCTTGCTCAGCGGGAAGCCTGCTTCTCGCTCTGCCTGCCACTCCTCCTGCTTGTGCTTTCTCTGTCTCTGACAAATAAATAAAAAATCTTAAAAAAAAAAAAAGTAAAAAACAAAACAAAAAAATCACCACATTCAGTATTTTGTCCCTGCTTACCATTTTTCATATCTTATTATCATAATTCACTCTCTCACGTATAGTTTTGAAATACTCTTCTGGTTTTGGTTCCCTTATGTTCATCTTTACATTGCTGTCAGACCTTTCTACAATATATTTCTGACGATGTAACTCCTCTGCTTATTTAGTGGATCCCCATTACATGAAGGAGAAAGTTCATATTCTAGCATGACACTTGCCTTTTTTGGTTCAGTCCTGATTTTCCAGTTATCTCTCTCTGTCCCATTCCCAAAAGTTGTGTTCCAGTTTTGCCACATTCTGGAGCTATCGTAACTTACTGCGTTATTTCATACTTCATCCTTTCGCTCATTCTACCTTTTCTAGAGTGTCCTTTGCACCCTCCTTGTGCACCTTGTCTGTCTTTCAATATACAGCCCTATCTGCAGCATTTCCTGAGCTTCCCATATGCAACTCTTTTCTCCTTTGTGCCTTCACTGTACTTTATTCACTTCACCTGTAGAACTAGTAAATGATACTCTTCTGTTCTTAATTGTTTTGGTCCATCTCTACCCCTACTAGCATATAGGGCAGTCTCTGTCGTTTATATTTCCAACTTCTCCCACGATAGTGCCTATGACTTGACAGGTACGGTGTGTCTTTGTCTTTCTGAGTGAGTGAGTGAGTGAACAAGTGAATTAATGTGATGTTTTCTGAAGTTGGGTTTTTGTTTTGTGTTGTTTTTATAGGAAGGAGAGGTGCAGCCGGCAACTGGAAAAAAGGACAATGGTATTAATATTACTGAAAGTGCTCCACAAGAGCAAACAGTTAATGACCATCTGACTTCTGCTGATAGAGCATACAAAAGTAATAGTAGTGGTAAGTTAGTAAACATCTGTGAATTTTTTCCTATGCTCAAATGCTAGTATAAAGAAATCTGAAAGTATGTAGATCCAGATGTTATGCATTTCATTAAGATATGTTTCTTTTGCTGTCTTTCTTTTTAAGTATCCCGACTACTACCAACTTTTTCTTCCTGAAAATAATTCAACCCTCTGAAAATCTTTACTGCTATTACTTTTATTTTATTGAAATATTCATGAGTAGGGATAAGCTTGTACATATGTTTAAAATTCATAATAATACATGTTCTCATTAATGTATCTGTGACTGTATTTTATAGTTACGATGTCAGCATTGGGATTAGGAGAAGAGGAAGATGGAGAATCACCTTGGGATTCTGAGGTACTGTTTTCTTCTTATTATTTTAAAATATAAGCATTGAATGATGTTAAAGCATAAAAGGGATGCTTAGACTTTACTCTGTCATCTCTGCATTTGCCCATAAAAACTATTTCCTTATACTTTTTACCTGTAATTGATAAAATAATTATGTGCTAAATATAATAATACAGCATAATACAGTTCTGCTAATTTGCAAGCTTAACTTAATGAAAGCTGTGTATTATTATTGCAGAAAACTGAGGTTTAGGAGTGATAAGGAATTAGTTTGCGTTTTGAAATTAAGTTATCTAAAAAACTAAAGAATTACTCCAGGCCAACCTATGGCCAGATGTGATTCTGTGGTGTATATGGATGTGCAAAATTTCTGATGAGATCTAGAAAGTTTGGATTATAGTTTTTTACAACTTGGAACTTGAAAAGCTAACGCCTGGGACTTGAAAGTATTTTATATATATATATATATATATATATATATTTTTTTTTTTTTTTTTTTTTTTTTAAGATTTTATTTATTTATTTGAGAGAGAGAGTGAGTGAGCAGGAGGGAGAGGGAAAGAGAATCTGAAGCAGACTCCCTCTGGGCGCAGAGCCCTACTATACCAAGAGTTGGACACTCAACTGACTGAGCCATCCAGGGGCCCTGAAAGTATTATACTTGGATTGTCAAGTAGATTTACAAGGAGCATTGGGATTATAATAACAATTTGGCTTAGTGGTGTTTTATTTATTTATTTTTAAAAAGATTTTATTTATTTATTTGAGAGAGAAAGAGATAGAGAAAGAGAGCATGAGCTGGGGGAGGTGCGGAGGGAGAGGGAGAAGCAGGCTCCCCACTGAGCACATGGGGCTAGATCCCAGAACCGACTGAGCCACCCAGGTGTCCCTGGTTTTGTGGTGTTTTAATAGGTAACAGCCATTTGGGATCGTTAAAATAGTATGCATTGAGTATCTTTGTGGCAGCCATACTTGTAGAAACATAAGTATAAAGTAATGATGACCTATTCTAAGGTGACAGACTGTGGAAGGAGGTGAAAAGGACCTGATCTCTTAGCACAGGCAGGTGCTTCAGAATGGTGCAGGCACCGTATTTGAAGTCAAAAGATATGCTAGCATCCTGGTTCTGTCACTTGGTAGCTGTGGGATGCCAGAAAAACTTGTTTAACCTGCTTGAATGTCAGTGACCTGATTCATAAAAATGGTACTAATACCTACCTCTCAGGTATGTGTAATGAACAAATGTGGTAACAAATGTGAAAACACTTTGTATACTGTAAAGGCTGCTATAGAAATATAGGACAAAAATGATCACAGCAGTATTTAGTGATTTATTAAATATTGAGGACACTTTTTTTAAATGTGAAGATTTCTGAAGGACAGTAACATAAATGGCAGTAGTGTCCAGAAAAGAATGGGAAAGTTAGAACGGGCAGGTGGATTTCTAAGTTGGGGTATGTTACGTTTCAGTGACATTGTATAGGTATACAGTTGACCCTGGAACAGGATGAGTTTGAATTGTGTGTCCACTTACACACAGACTATTTTTTTGATACAGTTCAGTACTGTTAATCTGTTTTCTCTTCCTTATGATTTTCTTAATAAACTTTTCTTTATATTGTAAGAATACAGTATATAATACATATAACACACAAAATGTGTTAATTGATTTTACATTATTGGTAAGGTCAGCATTAGGTTATAATTTTCTCTGACCTTCCATGCTCAGTAAACAGAGTCAATGGCCAAATGAGGATTAAGACATAGATTAGATCTAGAGAGCATATACGAGGTCTTCTATTTAAATGTTTTGGTTTTTCATTTACATTGTTCCTATTTTTAAGTCTAATTGCTTTTAAAGTAGGAAGTTCAATAGGAGATTAGTAGTTAAGTTTTTGGGGAATCAAAAGTTGTATGTGGATTTTTGACTGCACGGCTGTCAACGCCCTTCACCCTTGCATTGTGTAAGGGTCGACAGTATAGTGACTTGGTACTTGAGACCTTCTCAGTGAGGTGATTTTATTTATTTTTTAGAGAGAGAGAGAGAGAGAGCGTGTGAGAGGGTGGGGAGGGGCAGAAGAAGAGGGAGAGAGAGAATTCCAAGTAGGCTTCATGCTCAGCACGGAGCCCGACATGGGGCTTGATCTCATGACCCTGAGATCATGAACTGAGCTAAAATCAAGAGTTGGACACTTAACTGACTCTGCCACGCAGGCACCCCCTCAGTGAGATTATTTTAAATGTTTTGACCTTAAATACATTTCTGTTATTGAATATCAGCTATGTACCAGGCTGTATAAGTTGAGGGGTTAGGCTGTAGTGGTAGGAGCAGAAAAAATAAGGAAATAACAATCCATTGGTAAGTTACTATAAGTGCTTCATATAAAGAAAATGGAAATGTTAGGTTAGGGAATTTTGGGGAATTTGTAATTAGGATGGGGATGAGAATGGGAGTGGAATTTTGTTAGTCAGGAAAGATCTCTCTGAATGTGGCAAGAGCCACCAACTGGTTGATGAGAAGGACCAGTCATGCAAAGGTCTTGGAGAAGGACATTCTAGACAGAGAGAACCATGGATCACATCTATTCATCATTTCACTCTTATGTCTTGGAATGACCAGGAAGCAGGAAGATCCACCCCATTGTCATAATCATTGTTATTGTGTGTAGAAAAGAAAATGTGCATACTAAGATAAGTGCCTGGTACATTTTAGGTAATTAATAAATAAATGTTCTTATTCTTCCCTTATGAAAGCTTACTATACTTTTTGAAGAGTTTCATACCTGTATCTAAAGTTTTTTGCTATTATTTAAATATAATTTCAAGGAAAGTTTTTCTTCCTACTTTGCCATTTCATTCAACCATTTCTCCTATCAATAAAAAGTCCAAGCCTTTGTTTATCTAAATGAAGCAGCAGCTACCACAGTGTTCTGTTTATACTCAACATGATATACTCCAAGGTTTCTCATCATGTCAAGTATCTTACTTTAGAACTGAAAAAGTTTCTGCCATTAGGAACAGTTTAAATCTGTAGCAAATATACTTATTAAAGAACTTGTTTAAATACATATTTTTAATGTCCTTTTATTTTGGTGGGAAATGCAAAGGAGAGTTAGGTGTTTTGTTAATTCCTATTGAAATGTACATATAAATAAGTCTTCTGTCTATGAAAGTATTTACTCTGGCCTTCCATGTTCAGTTAGAGTCAGTGGGCAAATGTAGATTAAAAGGTACACTTAATCTAGAAAGCATATATGAGGTTTTTAGATGTTTTGGTTTTCAATACATGCTTTTCTTATTTGTAAGTCTGATTGCTGTTAAAGTAGGAAATTCTGATATTTTCTTAGAAAAGGATTAGGAAGTCTTTATGCAGCTCATTTTTGATGATAATTTTAACAGAGTATTTCTGAGAGTCTTCTAAAGAAAGACGTTAAACATTTATTTGGAGCTGTGGATCAGAAAGGACCACGTATATTAAATGAACAAGTAGAAGGTAAGAATTGTATTTTCTTAAAAAGTCACTTGATAGAATGTTAATTTAAAATGGGAATACTGATATGTTCTAATATCCAAAGAAAATCACCTATTAAATGCATAGAAAGGAGAAAGATGTGAAAAGGAGATCAGTTGTATATCTTTTCAGGGGTCAGCAACAGATTAAATTGAGAGTGCCACTGAAGGAGCTAAATTACTGGTTCCATTTCAAGATACTCTAAGACCTAAGGAACATCAGGAAATAAGAGGAAAAGAGGGAATGATGAGAAAGGCGGAGAGTACCGGGAGTAAATGAAGGACAAAGCAGCTCTTTATAGTGGAAGGTGGTAACATAAAATAATTCTTTTAAAAGGAAGAGCAGAGTATTTGAAATGCAGGAATAATATCAAGTGAGCTTCCAGTACCAAAGTTTGTCAGAGTAGTATGCCAAAACTTTTCCACTCTTACTGATTTCCTCACTGTTGGGAAGACATTAAGGACTGGCGTAGCTGATTATGCAGAGCTATGTCCTAGTCAGCTATAAATGTATATATCTTAATGTCATATAAAATGGTGGCACTTCATCAGATAGTATCATTTAGTGCAAAATAGGAGAATTGGAAGGAAGAAGAGAGCAGGATCAGTTAGGGGGAGATCAAGGAAGCTTTAGCCCTGATAAAAAGTGCATTAGAAAGTTTATGACTTTTTTAAAATTTTTATTTATTTATTTGACACAGAAGAGACAGCGAGAGAGGGAACACAAGCAGGGGGAGTGAGAGAGGGAGAAGCAGGCTTCCCGCCAAGCAGGGAGCCCAGTGCGGGGCTCGATCCCAGGACCCTGAGACCATGACCTGAGCTGAAGGCAGACGCTTAACAACTGAGCCACCCAGGCACCCCGAAAGTTTATGACTTTTAATACATTTTCAGTTTTGGAGAATCGATAGTGACGAACTTGAGGCTTTTTCTAGAAGGTTCAGTTAAGGTAAAGGAATGTGGCAACAGACTCCGTGTGGACCAGAATTTCTCAAATTTTAGTGAATCATCCGAGACCTTGTTAAAAATGCACATTGTGAGCAGCAGGTCTGGGATTCTGCAGTCTGACTTCTCAGGTGATGTCAGTGTTGGTGGTCCTTGGGTCATGTGCTCCATAGCAAGGATGTAGACTTCCCTTTAGAGAAATCTGGAAGGGCCATTGGATAGTTCAAGACATAATAGGATCAAGGAAAAGCATTATTTTGTTTTTATTGCTGAGCATGTTTTTAGCTAGAGGGGAGCAAGGAGATGCAGAAATAGAGGTTATAGATGTAAGATACTACTGCTAAACAAAGAGGAAAGAAGTGGTGGAGATAATCCGTAATAAAAGGGATGTAAAAGCAGAACAATCAAGACCATAGATCCAGAAATTACTTTTTTTTAAAGATTTATTTATTTTAAGGAGAGAGAGAGAGAGAGAGCAAGCGACCAGGGCGAGGGGCAACGGGAGAGGGAGAGAGTATCCTTAAGCAGACTCCCTGCTGAGCCTGGAGCCCGATGCGGGGCTCAATCCCAGGACCCCGATATCATGACCTGAGCCAAAATCAAGAGCCAGACACCCAACCGACTGTGCCACCCAGGCGCCCCCAGAAATTACTTTTGGAGAAGGTGGATAGTGAAGGGAAGGAGGGAAGAAAGAAAGGCATGTTACCTAGGAAATTTTGGAGTTGATGAGAAAACTCGAGAGAATTCACTTTAGATGACTTGAGTGTATTTGCACTAAAACAGATTAAATTATAGTTGCTCCGCAAAGAATACTGAAAGCAGATGGAGTGCTAAACTTGGGCTAAAACAGCCACTCGTTCATCCTCCTCAGATCTATGGGACATCAAAGATCTCTCTTGTATTGGTATTCATTATTCCAGTGAGATTAATTTGAATATGGAAGCTTTGGCTGTTTTTTTTTTTTAAGATAGCCAATTTTTTGATATGATAGCTGTTTCAAAAAAACCTTTTAAAGACTAACATGATCTAGCAAATCAAACTAATTTTGGAAACCAAAGAGATTATAGGGTTCGTTCTCTAAATGCTACAATTGTTATTATCAGTAAGATTGACACTGAATACATATATTTGCATTTTTTTTCAATATTTATACTGGGTTCATATTTCTCTCTTGTCGCTGTCCGAACCCACCTTCCTATCTCCAGAAACAGAACACCAAAACCTAATGTAATCATTTTCAGAGCCAAGCATGAGGATTCAGCTTAGTACTAACTGCATGAATGTTTAGTTGCCTTTCATGTTTACATATAATTAACATTATGTCCATTTTACTTTTCAGATTCTCCTAAAAGTTATCCTTACGTGAAGGTAAAACTTTTATATTTTTATTTTGAATTTTTAACTACAGATTGTATGAAAGGTCCATCATGTCTTAATCATATTGTTTCAATACCCATTCAGCCTCCCGTTGAAGTGAAAGATTCTGTTCCTAATAAAACAGTGGAAGTGAAGGAAAAACAAACATCCAACTCAGGTAAATTTTACAATACAAATTTAACAGTGGAAAGAAGTAGACTAAAATATTTGAAATGCTCAGTCTTCTTATTCTGAATTCTTCTTTCTTGTTTTTTTTTTTTTTTGGTGGCAAATTTAACTGAAGGATTTGACATAAATAAGGTAGATACCACTGTTCATACCCGTGTTTGAACAAAAGATATTTATAAGCATAAGAAAAGATTTTTAAAATGTAAGCTTTAGCTGTAGTTTCCACTTTTATGTTTTGAAATCCTGAAGTTCCCAGTTTGGAATCCCATTACTTCTTTGGGATTCCCAGAAGTTAATTATTAGACTCTCAGATTTTTCCAGTGTTCACAATGTTTATTTCAATTCTGACCTTTCCCTAGAGTAAAGCTTCACTTGCTATCATGTCAATTGTGTTTTAAGTTTATTTCTTCTTAGTGTTATTATGTTGATCATCTTAAGCCAAACAGATGTTCTGATTAGCGGACTCTGTGTGTGTGTGTGTGTGTGTGTGTGTGTGTGTGTGTGTGTGTGGTGTCTTTGATTATTAAAACTGTGGGAAGTAATTAGTTCTATCCTAATATTTGGTAGACACAGTCTTTTAAAACCATAATTCTGAAACTTATTGGCCTTAGGGTCCTTTTATACTATTTAAAAATTATTGGGAATTCCAAAGAGCTTCTGTTTAAGTGTTGATATTTACCATATTAGAAATTAAAACAAGCATTTAAAATACAAGCATACACGATCATACATTCTTAGCCGTTAGAGCTCTGACCCACTAATCATGCGAGTTGTGATACTATCACATATCCTATCTTTAGAAAACTTCACCGTACACTTAATAAGAGAATGAGAGTGAAAATGTCAAATAACATTCAGCATTATTGAATGGATGGATCTTGGAACTCTGGGGATTCTCAGATGACATGGGAGAACTGTTTTAAACCATGTACAGATTTCATGGATACAAAATGATAGAGGGGCCCTTGTGGTGAAATGGGCATTAAGGTTTCATTTCTGCATTTCTTGCCTTTTTCTTTCCCTTGTCTTAAGAGGTTTAAATCAGACAATCTTGTTTTAAAAAAAAAAAAAGGAAAGTATTTTTGTTATATATTCATTTTCTGTTTCATGGCACTGTAGTTTTTGGATCTAGCGTGGACTGAGACTTACTGTGTTTTTACATGGAAATGATTAGATCACCCGAGGCTTTCATTTCTGAGATAAATTTGTGATGTTTGTCCAAGGCTTAAAAATTTCTGAACATAGGGACTCCTAGGTCACTCAGTCCGTTGAGCGTCTGCCTGTGGCTCAGGTCATGATCCCAGGATCCTGGGATCGAGTCCCACATTTGGCTCCTTGCTCAGTGAAGAGCCTGCTTCTCCCTCTGTCCCTGCTGCTCCCCCTGCTTGTGCGCTCTCTCTCTCTCTCTTCTTCCTCTAACCAAAGGAACATCTGAATAAGAATTATGAGAAAGTAATTTCCTTTGGGCTAGTTTTTAGCATTCACTTGAGAGTAGGTAGCAGGATTATATTTAGAACTTTGGGACCAGTGGGGAATACTAGGTAGAGATCTAAAGATTGCTTACTCAAAACATAGTTTCTTAGCTTTATTTTGTAGCTCTAAATTCACAAGTATTGGTCAAGCTATATTCATTGTAACTATAAAAAGCACCTTCCCAAATCAAATATTAAAATATTTCCTATGTTCTGTATGACTTTTGTTTTAGAGTTGGCTTTCCCAGCAGTAATGGGAATAGTTGAGAATTTACTATATAGTATCATCTTCTCAGCTATGTATGCATAGTCCATCTCCTTGTTTTATTATTTTTATTTTATCTCTTTAGAGAGAGAGAGATGGGTGGAGAGAGGGAGAGGGAGAGAGAGAATCCGAAGCAGGCTTCACACTCAGCACAGGGCCTGATGGGGGGGCTCAATCTCATGACCCTGAGATCGTGACCTGAGCCTAAATCAAAAGTTGGACACTTAACTCACTGAGCCACCCAGGTGCCTCTTTATTATTATTATTGTTATTTAAAATTTTTATTGATTTGAGAGAGAGGGAAATTGAGAGAACGAGTGGGAGGAGTGGCAGAGGGAGAAGCAGACTCCCAGCTGAGCAGAGAGCCCAATGCAGGACTTGATCCCAAGAACCGTGGGATCATGATCTGAGCCGAAGGCCGCCGTTTAACTGACTGAGCCACCCAGGCACTTCCCTTTATTATTTTTAATAAATAAATGGAATATTGGTTTTAAGGAGCACTATATTATTTAAAAATAATATGTGGAAAGTCCATTTTAATTCTACTAAGATACTCTGTCTATTGATTAACCACATCTAATGTGTGCTCTACTTAATGTACCAGTTCATTCCTTACCTTTTATCGGTCATATGATCAGGTCTGTACTAATAAATCGTACAATATTTTTTTCACCCCTGTAGTTTTATGTTCTTTCTTTCCTTGTAGAATTAACACTGTATTTTCAAAGGATTTTCAATTATCTCCTAGAGTAATGTGTACAGGCAATAAATCCAAAGTTATTTACCTATACAAGTGACTTGTTTGCTGTTACTTCTTCATGAGCTTGGTAGATCCAAGAAGTAGGACTTTTAAAATACCTACAGGCTCCTGTAACAAAGGAAGATCTGAAACACAAATTATAAATACAAGCAACTTAAAACAGTTCATGTAGATTGTTTCTCTTCTCACTTGATGCCTTTTATAAAGTAATGAGCAAAGTTAGTTCTCTAGGGACCCAAGATTGTGTGTTTATTCATTTAATACAGATTTATTCTGTACTGTGCCCTGATCATTTTATAGCCTCAGTATTTCTGGAACCATTCTGTCAGTGCAGGTGTACTTCATCTTTATTTTGCCTTACTGCCTTCTAATTCATCTCCCATCTTTTATTACAGTGCCCCTCAAATTCATCCCTCTCCACAGCATTTAGAGTGATCTGTCTCAAATGTAAATATGACTATGAACCACCGTTGAAAATATATTTGTGTCCAGGTATCTTAAAATTACATATAAAGCTTTCATAGTCTTGACTTCCTCTTAGATCCCTGTATTTTAGACAAATATTTACCCTGTTGTGTGCTTCTCTCCCTTTTAGACAAATATTTACCCTGTTGTGTGCTTCTCTCCCTTGTCTTACTACAGCCTTGCATACTCCTCCTGTTTTCCTCCCTCTAACCCCTTTGAATCTGGCTGACCTCACTGTTTTCAGTTTCAGTTCAGGCATTATCTCCAGAAAAACCATTCCTGACACCTTTTATCTACATGCTTCTTTAAACCTGGGTGCCTAGCACTTACGGGAAACTCTGTAAATAATTACTGAGTAAAATAAAGAGTGTAGACACAGAAATGACTTAAGGGATTGCCCCATACAGGGGCACCTGGTTGGCTCAGTCGGTTGAGTGTCCAACTCTTGATTTCAACTCCGGTCATGACCTCAGAGTTGTGAGATCGAGCCCCGTGTGGGGCTCAGTGCTGGGCTTGGAGCCCCGTCAAGATTCCCTCTCTCTCTATCTGGTCCTCCCCCTCTCCAAAAAAAGAGAGAGAGAGAGATTGTCCCATACAGTCCAGGAGCAAAATAAGAGATATATAAGGAAGTAATTTACAGTTCAGGTGGTGAAGATACACTAGAAAAATCGGTAAAGTAGTAAGGTAGCCCTGAAGAAAGAGGCACCTATTCATCTGGGGAACAGGAGCCATAATCAAGGATGGCTTTACATAGCAGTCTGTGTCCTACAAGATGTGAAGAAATTTATCAAGTAGTAGAGGAAAACATTTCAGGCATGTTTACACTCATCAGGGACATACACCCTTAGGAAGCTTGTACACTAATAAAGGCATAAAAAATACTAATAATTTTGGAAACCATGAATAATGTTATAGTTGACGCTTTGGGTGTTAAGAGGTGCTGTTACAAGGTAAAGAACAGTCTGTTGTGATTTTATATGTTTCTGCTGCATTATAAAATTTTGTTTCTGATTGTTTTGTTCATTGATGTTAGGTGGATGAACCTGTGAATGAATCTTTGAGATGTTTGTATGTCTTTAACCTGGTGACATTTAGTATTTCCCAAATGGTTTGTTGAAGTTTCCTATAATTAAAAGTATTTCTTAAAGTAAATATTCAGCTAAAGATTAAGTTTAATTTAAACTATCAATAGATAAAATGTTATTTTCTATTTTTAAGAAGATTATAGCTTTTATCTAACCATTCTAAGTAGTCCATTTTCACTAAATATATAGATTGGCCAGCAGAACTAGACGTAGAAAGGACATCAGAGGAAGAGCAAAAAAGACTTGATGAAAGTGAAAATAACCACCTAAAGGTATGTAAAATTTAAATTTAAATTTCCGATTTGATATTTTTCCTGCTTTAATAATGTAACATAGTTCAAATGAAATGATCTTTTGAATGGACATATTGAAGTCAATAGATTATAATTTAATATTTAGTTTTTATAAAATTTTACAAGTTACAAAACTTAAAATATAGTTAGAATTTATAGTAACTTATAGCTAAACTTCATCCTTGGAATTGAGATAAAAAAAAATTCCTGAATATTGTTTGCTTCTTCACATTTTTGTAACTTTTTATGCAATAAAGAAGGTAACATCAAATATTGAATCATATGTTTAAGGAGTTGAAATTATGAGCAGTATAATAATGATGACTAGTGACTTAGATTCAGATAGAAGGAGTAATTATTCTCAGTGGTTCAAAATGTTCAGTTCTGTATTGCCAGTCACTGATGCCAAGATAAAAGATTTATTTTGCCTTGTGATCTCTGTGTAGTTGACTTCAGAGAGTGGGGTCATAAAATCAGCACAATTGCCTATTGTAGAATCACACCTTCCAGGGTGGGACCTTTGTAGTTGGGTAATAAACAATAACTTTTTCAGTTATTTCATTTCAGCATAGGATATCAGTAAGTATTATTAACATTTTTCTTATCCACTCTCAGTGGACATTATATTAGGGCTGTATATAAGCAGATAATTATAGTGATGTATAACACTATCATAGTATATAATTTGAATTAAGATTTAGGAATTTTCTTTCTGATTCATGTTAACTGATTTTGGCTCCTAATAATTGAAAATTTGCCTATTCTCTAGTTATTAATCTTTAAAGAAAATCCTCAAATGCACTGTAGGGGCTCACTGTTCTTAAATATGAAAATTATAATTCATATATATATAAATATATATATTCTTAAGTATGGTGAGATAAAAAGCTTTTAAGTTTGCAACATTAAAACTAATCCAATTCATTTTTTTGGTAAATGTAACGTAATGAAATGTTTATTTCAAAAAAACTGACAAAGTTAAGTTTATGGATTTATGTTTTTCTTCTGTCTTAAGCCAGGGCGAGTTATTTTTCACTTCTTTCTTACAACATAGTGACTTGGGAGCAGCTTAACATAGATTAAGAAATTTAACAGTTAAATTTTAATTATTTTCTAATTTTTCTTTGTCCATACTTGATTACTTAAGGATAAAGGTATTTCACAAACATGTATCCTGGCAGAAAAGACATGTGAAAATCAAACCCAGCAAATTAACGTTCCACTTTTGCATCTGCAAAAAAAGTCTCGAGAACCAGAAATGAATAAGAAATGTGATAGAAAGGATAATATATCTGTATATTCAGAACATCCTTCTGTGCAAAAGCGTGAGGAAATCTCGATCAAACAAGGCAAATTAGTGTGGAAAAATAATCTAAAACACATCACCAGTGAGTTAAAGCGGACGTTTGGTGCAACTTGTGAAAAACACAAAATTGCTCCTTATCCTAAGGAAGAGTCACTACGTGGTAACTTTAAAGAAGGAGCAAACTTAATGGAAATACCTTCTAACTTGACAAATGATAGACTTGATTGTGAGAAAAAGGATATATTTGCAGTGCCTGTCCCTCTAGTAGTTCAGGCATTTCCTGAACAAAAAAATTCTAGTCTCAAATATGCTTGCCAGGCATCTTCTGATTTTTCTTTTAGTGAAAATAAATCAGACTGTGAAAATGATAACAAACCAGACACTGAGCATGTTTTTAACAAAAATAAGAGTTTTTTTTTTAAAGATTTTATTTATTTATTTGAGAGAGAGTGAGAGAGAGCATGAGAGGGGAGAGGGTCAGAGGGAGAAGCAGACTCCCCACTGAGTGGGGAGCCCGACGTGGGACTCGATCCTGGGACTACAGGATCACGACCTGAGCTGAAAGCAGTTGCTTAACCAACTGAGCCACCCAGGCGCCCTCCAAAAATAAGAGTTTTAAAAGTGGTACAGAAACTAAAAAAGTAAGGAACCCACTCGCTACGTTTGAAGTGAAAGAAGACCAAGAGTTTGACGTGCATATGGCAAAAAGTATGAACCAAAATAGCACTAATTCTAAATTAGACATTGGACGTATACCTCAGTCTAGTGATTCAGAAAGCCATTTTGACAAAAGGTTTTCCCGCTCCAATGAGATGAGACAAATGGCTCAAATAAAAAGGCACCATAGTTCTGCCGTTACATTTACAAGAAAACAAAAGTCTTGTTCCAGAAGCCATTCTGTGCAGTTAATAACAGTACTAATAACTATAGAAGTATGGAACCCGAATTAGAAAATGTGAGTTCTTCTCCACCATGTAGTTACAGAACATCAGAAGTATGTCTAAAAGAAGAATTACAGCAAGATGTTCAAAAGTTTAAGAACGAGATAGGCATGTTACAGATAGACATCCTGGATGAGGAAAAAAAGAAAGTTCAACTTCAAAAAGAGGTAGAGGTTCACTTTGCTGCTGCTCTTTTGTTTTTCCTCTTTATCAATTATCTGAGTCATTCTGATTCTCCACTTAGGAAAAAAGTTCGTGTATAACATGGGGTTGTCTAAATACATAATTGTGTTCGGAAATAGATTATTTCTGCTGTCTAAATGATCGGAGTGCAGGAAAACATTCTTATGATTGGTTTTCCTTAAGTTTCTCTGTAAGTCTCCCAAGTGGCATATGAACTGGGAAACTGATTTAGCTACGCACCCTGTGACCTCATGAACCAGAGTAACCGTAAAGAAAATTCCTTAAAAAATGCAATTATTGGGGCACCTGGGGTGGCTTAGTCGCTAAGCATCTGCCTTCAGCTCAGGTTATGATCCCGGGATCCTAAGATCAAGCCCCGCATCAGGCTCCCTGCTCAGCGGGAAGCCTGCTTCTCCCTCTCCCACTCCCCCTGCTTGTGTTCCCTCTCTCTCTGTGTCTCTCTCTGTCAAATAAATAAATAAAATCTTAAAAAAAAAAAAAACTTAAAAAAATGCAATTATCTTGGCACATCTGGGTGGCACAGTTGAGCATCCGACTCTTGGTTTTGGCTTGGGTTGTGATCTCAGGTTCATGAGAGTGAGCCCCGCGTTGGGCTCTGTGCTCAGCATGGAGTGTGCTTTAGTTTCTCTCTCCGTCTCCCTCTGCCCTTCCTGCTCATGCTCTCTCTCTCTATAAAATAAATAAATCTTTAAAAAAGATATATAATAATCTCTAGTGTTTTGTTTTGTTTTTTAAGATTTATTTATTTATTTATTTGAGAGAGAGCACATGTGTGTGCACGAGCATGAGCCGGGGGAGAGGCAGAGGGAGAGAGAAAGGGAGAAGCAGACTCTCTGCTGAGCAGGGAGCCTGACATGGGGCTCCTTCCCAGGCCCCTGGGATCATGACCTGAGCTGAAGGCAGATGCTTAACGGTGAGCCATCCAGGTGCCCCATCTCTAGGGTTTTTATTTTTATCTATTGGCTTAAATATAAATTGCATTTCCATAAACAATAAAATGGGAAAGAAGCAATGACTAAGAGAAAGGATATAAACAAGTATTTCAGCTAAACCTATTTATTGTTTCAGTATGTGCAATCTTTTCTGCTTTGTACTCACTCTTGGAACTTAGAATTCCAACAGGACCACTTTGAGATATTTTTAATAACAAATATTTGTATTATCACTGTTTTCCTCCACATTTTTTAAAAACAGACTCTCTTTTTAAGATTTATTTATTTATTTAGAGAGCATGAGCAAGGGGAGGGGCAAAGGGAGAGAGAGAGAGGAAGAGGGAGAGAGAGAGACGGAGAGAAGTAGACTCCCCACTGAGCATGGAGCCTGATGCGGGGCTCAGTCCCACAACCCTGAGATCATGAGCTGAGTCAAAATCAAGAGTCAGAGGCCCAACTGACTGAGCCACCCAGGCGCCCCCCTCCACTTTTTTTTTTTTTTTTTTGGTCACCATTCTCACATGTTTCTGTTGAGTCAAACCTTCATATTATGTTTAATAAAGTATGGTACATTTTGACATGAATGGCTTTTATAATGTAGGTACCATAAACCTTCAGAAACCTTCAGTATTTAACTCGAAGGGAGAAAGCTGACTTTTGAGGTGAATTGAGTTTTAAAAATAGAGAAAAATCTAGAGATATCCTCCTTCAAAAGAAAAAGTAGCTACGCACCTTGTCCCCATTAAGATATTAAATTACTGTGCCAGTGTCATACTTTTAATGTATCTGATTAATTTAATGAATTTGTTTGATAACTTAGCTGATTCAGCATTAAAGAATTGTATCATCTCTTTTGGTGCCATAAGATGCTAGGTAATGCCACTTTAGGAACTTTGGACAAATCATTTAACTTTTTTTGGTTTCACTCCCATTTATCAGTGGAAAATGGGATTAAAGTTGATAATTACTTTTATACCCTCTAGCTATAAAAGTTTATGATAACCATGAATGTGGAATTTGGGGAGCATTACTCATTTCCCAAAATTCTACACTAACATCAGTTTCACTCTGTTCTTTTTGTGTTGTGGTGAACCTTGGTTCATATATTTTAATGAACACTGCCACTTGTTTGATAACCCTAGGATCCAAATGAAAAAAGAATTGTAAAAGGCAGTTGGCGAAAAAATAGCTCAGTGCAGAAAGAGGAAAACTCTTTGTTCCTGGAGCACCACAATGTCACATCCTTTAAATCTGGCTGTTTTTGCAAAATCCAGGTTGTAACGACAGACGAGGACAAATTTGTGTCTTTGTCTTTTTATTTCTTTGTATCTGCTGGTCAGATGGGGTGGGGTGGGAATGTTAGGTAGCAAAGCGTGGATATGAATACAAAATTAAGAAAGCCCTTTTTCAAATTTTGGAAAATTCTGCTGTTTTAATTAATTATTTTTAAAGATTTTATTTATTTGTCAGAGAGAGCGAGAGCACAAGCAGGAGGAGCTACAGGCAGAGGGAGAAGCAGGCTTCCCGCTGAGCAAGGAGCCTGATGCGGGGCTCGATCCCAGGACCCTGGATGAGACCCGAGCCGAAGGCAGACGCTTAACCAACTGAGCCACCCACGCGTCCCAATTCTGCTGTTTTTATTCAAACGGAAATGAAGCAGAACTTATAAAAGTTGCAATTATTTATAATGATAAAGTTAAACAAAATATTTTTATTGATTAAAATTACGACAGACTAAGAGTCAAATGATATAATTAATGAAAAAAAGTTCTGGGATGACTGGGTGGCTCAGTCCTTAAGAGTCTGCCTTCGGCTCAGGTCTGATCCCAGGGTCCTGGGATCGGGTCCCGCATCAGGCTCCCTGCTCAGCGGGGAGCCTGCTTCTCCCTCTGTCTGTACCTCCCTCCCCCTGCTTGTGCTCTCTCTCTGATAAATAAATAAATAAAACCTTTAAGAAATTTATAATTAATGAAAAAAAGTTCTTTTTAATGAATAATGTAGTAACAATTATCCTTAGTATCACATTTCCATTAAAGATTAATGAAGAAAAGAAGAGACACCAAAGTAATGAGACGGCAGTATTAGAAAACACATATGCTGTCGCTGCTGCTGCTGCTGGACTCATTCAACAAAGAGAGAGTGGAAAAACTGAAAACCACCTCTTTCCTGTTGGGAAAAAGGAAGATTCTGATGGGTAAGCCTATGGCCATATTGAAATAGTAGGTAATTATTATTTGCCTATAAAACCAGTTCTAGTTGGAGCTAACATTCATGATTAACAAGTTTTATATTTTTAGTAAGGCTAGTCCATCCTGGGTGCGAATCAGAAAAATGCAAATAACGAGATACCATTTTTTGCAGTCCTAGTGATAAATATTTTATTAAAAAAATAATAACCAAAGGTAGCAAATGGGAGGAAAAAGGCATTCCTGTACACTGTGGTTAGATGCACGTGGTAACTCCTTTCTGAAGGGTGAGTTAGTGTGTTTCAAAAACTTTAAATATGCTGTCCCTGTTTTAAGTTTATTTTTTAATTTTTTTAAAAGATTTTATTTCTTTACTTGACAGAGAGAGACACAGCGAGAGCGGGAACACAAGCAGGGGGAGTGGGCGAGGGAGAGGCAGGCTTCCCGCCGAGCAGGGAGCCCGATGCGGGGCTCGATCCCAGGACTCTGGGACCATGACCTGAGCCGAAGGCAGACGCCTAATGACTGAGCCTCCCAGGCGCCCCATATGCTGTCCCTTTATTCCAATGCTTCATTGCCAGGACTAGATCCTATAGGAAAACATGACTTGTGTAAACACACACACACGCACGAACACATTCTAAGGACATTTATTGTACATTATTGTATATATAAAATATGACAGATATGTTAAGGATATTTATTATAGCATTCTCATATCAAAAAGTTGGAGATAGTCTAAATAGCCATCAATAAGGAAGTAAGTTGTCACCCCTATAAGACAATGTAACATGCGACCATTTGAAAAAATGAGTTTAGGTCTACAGTGTACTGATTGTTTAACAAAGTATATTTAAGGTGTTCGGTTTGATGTCATGTCTTATGCAAATTTTAGAATGCTTTTAATATCTGCTGAGTTGCAAAAGGAAGTTACCTGCTACACTGGCACTCTATCTTATTACCAGCAAAATTGTTAGCTATTAGGTTTTTGGTTTTGGTTCCATTGAGCTTGAGTGTTCAAATTTTGGACCCTCAAATTGATCTGAATATTACCAAGAGATTTCGTACGTCAACTTGTCCCATATTCTATATAAACATTTGATTTGATGATCCTTGTGCTATAAACCAAGAGGTTCCTAATGCAGTGAATCTTCTTTTGAAGGGACCTTGCATGTATGCTATTAACCTTCCTTTTTAAAGAGAATATATTTCTATATGCACCACACCAAATTTTTCAACAGTGACTTCATATTATATAATTTACGAAAATTCATTTTACAAAATAGGAATATTTTCTGCATTCCAAACACCTTATACTTCTCTTATAGAATTTTACTTTTTAATTTCTTAAATTAAATTTAATTTTTTAAAAGATTTTATTTATTTATTTGACAGAGAGAGAGAGAGACAGCGAGAGAGGGAACAGAAGCAGGGGGAGTGGGAGAGGGAGAAGCAGGCTTCCCACCAAGCAGGGAGCCCGATGTGGGGCTCGATCCCAGAACCCTGAGACCATGACCTGAGCTGAAGGCAGATGCTTAACAACTGAGCTACCCAGGCGCCCCTCGTATAGAATTTTAATATGACTAATTATTTTGGATATATCCTGGAGTTAGCCACTATCATCTGTTGTGTGTATAAGTGTGATAATTAACTAATTGGTCTTCTTGTTTGTTCTTTTGTCTTTTCTCTGTTTGCATTAATTCTAAACACAGTGGATCTATTAAAACGTAAGTCAGATTATGTCTTCCTCTGCTCAAAACCTAATTGCCTCCTATTTCACTCAGAGTACGTGCCAAAGTTCTTTCTAGCACCTACAAGGCCTTGTTCGATCTGTTCATCTTGATCTCTCCCTATCCCTTACTGCCTCACTCCTATTTTCTGTCCCTTTCACGCTGTCTAGCCACACTGAATTTCTCACTTTTTTTCCCTCATTATAAACGCTTCAAGCATCCCTCTGTACTTGCTGTTGACTCTATCTGGAGTGCTTTTCCCTCCAATACCCTCCTGTCTTGCTAGCTCCTTACTCCTTCCATTTTTTTTTCCCCCTTCAATTTTTTGCTTAAAGGTTACTTTCTTAGCAAGGCCTTTCTTGGTTATCCTGATTACCTCTTTCCCTGCAGCACATCAAAATTTGATTTCTCTGCTTTAGTTTTTCTCCTCTAGTACTATCTTGCCTGTGTAGTTTATTGTTATTGTGTTTACTTCACTCATGAGTAGGATTTTTATCTGTTCATCGCCATGTCCTCAGTGCCTAGAAAATGTTCTAGCATATATAGTTCTATTCAAAAATGTTTTTTGAGTGAATGGAGTTTAACCTGCATGTATTGTTTTTTAACATAATACTAACTCTCGCTTAAAGAAAAAGAAAGTTTGATATAGGTCCATTCTGACAATTTAATCTGTCAGTTGTATGCATTTTTTTTATTTTGGGGGGCCCAATATTGTGGTTACTTGCTATTTATTCTTTTACTGGTATTTAGGTTAGTTTTAATTATGGTAAAATGGATCAGGAATAGCAAACTTCATTTATATTTTATTAAGGAAACTGAAATATGGTGGTAAATTATAGGACTTTAAAAATTCTTGCCAAAGGATTATGAGCCCTCAATATCTGAAATAAAAAGGTGAAGTTGGAATTTATTGCCTACTAGTAAGATAGACCTATGCTGGTCATTTACGGTCTTTTCTGACAGAGCAGTCTGCTATTCTTATATAGGGTTTTGGGAAGAGTAGAGTGGAAGGTTTGGGGGACTTTCAGAGAATTAAGTGGTTTGTCATCATCTGAAACACCATGGTAATTTGGGTGAGACTGTTGTTGATTGGTTGGTACATGAGGCACGTGTATGGAATGGTTTTGTCTCCTATTGGCTTTCTTTTAGAAGGGAGGAGCTGACACTGCTTGGTGGGTGAGTGAGGCCAGTGGGCATTGATCAGTCGCACACATTTAAAACTGGTTGTGGTGGCTTCTTGTTCCCATGGCTTCATATTTGGGTTCTGCCCCCCAAGTTTGAGGTGACTTTAACTAGATGTTTTCTATTTAATAGTTGCTTCTATCAACTGTGTTCAAAAAGGAAGCTATTTCATATTCTGTAATTATAGATTTATTTTTGAGATTTGGGTTAAGAAGAATTGTTAATAATTGCCTTCAGGAAGATCCTTCTTTTTTGGATGTTAAATTTTAACTAGAAGAGTTATCTGTGTAACAGTTTTAAAACAATAATTGCTGGCTCTGTTTTTGTTTTCAGTGCTCTTAGGGGCTCATGTTCAATTCCTAAATTAATTATTTCCTTTGGGAAATTTCAGTCTTTTGTAAATTTATGTAGCTATATGCTGCTCATATTCTCTTGCATACATTTAGTCCATGAAAAAGTAATTATAATTTTCTGTTGGTAAATCTAGCTTTTTATATTAGGATTAAATACTAGGCTAAAAGTATGCAAAAGTTACCAAATCATTTTCTTTAAAAAAATTAATTTTTTTTAAATTTATTTGTAAGAGAGAGAGAGAAAGAGAGCGAGAGTGAGCGCACAAGCAGGAGGGAGGGACAGAGGGAGAGGTAGAAGCTCAGTGGGGAGCCTGGTGCAGGGCTAGATCCCAGGACCTGGAGATTATGACCTGAGCCGAATGCAGACACTTAACCGACTGAGCCACCCAGGCACCCCCAAATCATTTTATTTTCAAACAAAATTAACCAGGTTATTGCTATTTTTGAGTGATATATATAGTGACATATGAGTATTTTTGAATTTTCTGCAGATTTATTGAGGTATAATTGACAGATAACTGTGTAAGTCTAAGGTATACCTATATTAATTTAATACACTTTTATATAGTAAAATGGTAATAGTGTTAATAACTCCATCATCTCACATAATTATCATTTCTTTTTTAGCAACTCTCTTAGCGACTTTCAAATATATAATACAGTATTGTTAACTGTAATCACCATTCTGTACATTAGACCCTCAGAACTTGCTACTCTTGTAACAGGAAGTTTGTATCCTTTGGCCAATATCTACCCATTTCCCACAGCCTCCTACCCCTGGCAAGCACCAGGTGGAAATTTGTTTTGTTTTTTTTTAAGTTTCTACATGTAAGTCAGATCATACAGTATTTGTCTTTTTGTGTGACTTATTTCATTTAGCATAATTCCCTCCAGGTTCATTTATGTTGTTGCAAATGGCAAGGTTTCCCTCTTTTTTGTGGCTAAAATATTCCGTTGTAAATATATACCACATGTTTTAAACCCATGGATCCATTGATAGACACTCAGGTTGCTTCCCTGTCTTGGCTATTGTAAATAATGCTGCAGTAAACAGGGGTGCAGATACCTCTTCGAGATAGTGATTTCATTTCCATCAGAAATGTTCCCAGAAATGGGATTACTGTGTCATATGATAGTTCTATTTTTAGTTTTTTGAGGAACCTCCACAGTGTTTTGCATAGTGGCTGTACCAATTTACAGTCCCATAACAGTGTGCAAGGATTCCCTTTTCTGTACATCTTTGCCAGTGGTATCTCTTGTCTTTTTGATGAAAGCCATTTAACAGGTGTGAGGTGATAGATATATCATTGTGGTTTTGATTTGCGTTTCCCTGATGAATAGTGATGTTGAGCCCCTTTTTTGGTACCGTTGGCCATTTGAGTATCTTCTGAGGAGAGCTGTCTATTAAGGTGCTTTGCTGAGTTTTTATTTGAATTATTTGTTTTTTGCTGTTGAATTGTGTGATCTCCTTACATATTTTAGATATTAACCTTTTTTCAGATATGTGGTTTGCAGATATTTTCTTCCATTCTGTAGGTTGCCTTTTCATTATGTTACTTGTTTCTTTTTTGTTTTTTAGATTTTATTTAAATTCAAGTTAGTTAACCTATATTGTATTATTAGTTTCAGGGCTGGACTTTAGTGATTCATCACTTGCATGTAATACCCAATGCTCATCGCAAGTGCCCTCCCTGATGCCCATCACCCAGTTACAGCATCTTCCCACCCACCTCCCCTCCAGCAGCCCTCAGTTTGTTTCCTATAGTTAAGAGTCTCTTATGGTTTGCCTCCCTCTCTGTTTTTAACTTATTTTTCCCTTCCTTCCCCTATACTTGATGTAAATGGAACTAGAGTGTTGCTTGTTTCTTTTGCTGTGGAGAAACATTGTTCCATTGTTTTTGCTTTTGTTGCTTGTACTTTGGATGTCGTATCCAAAATCATTGCCAAGATCAATGTCAGGGAGTGTTTTCCCTGTTTTCTTGTAGGAGTTTTATGGCTTAACGTTGTCCATTTAAGTCTTTAATCCAGTTTGGGTTAATTTTTGTGAGTGATGTAAGTTAGGGTCCAGTTTCATTCTTTTTTGCATGTGAATATCCAGTTTTCTCAACATCATTTATTGAAGAGATTATCTTTTCTTCTTTAAGTGTTCTTGACTATATGCATGGGTTTATTTTTGGGTTCTTGATTCTGTTTCATTGGTCTTTGTGTTTGTTTTGATGCAAGTTCCATATACTGTTTTGGTGACTATAGCTTGGTAACAGTTTGAAAACAGGAAGTGTAATGCTTCCACCTTTGTTCTTTCTCAGGACTGCTTTGGCGGTTTGGGGTCTTTTTTGTTCCATACAAATTTAAGGACTGTTTTTCCTATTTCTGTGAGAAATGTCACTGGAATTTTGACGGAGATTGCACTGAATCTGTAGATGGCTTTGAATAATGTGGATATATAATACTAATTTTTCCAATCCATAAACAATGAGATATCTTCCTGTTTGTGTCTCTGCTCTTTTTTTTATCAAAGACTTGTAGTTTTTAGTGTACATATCTTTCACCTCCTTGATTGGATAATTTGAAAGTCTTAAAATTTGAAAATTTTAAATTCACAGATTTTTTTTTGATCCATTTTAGTGTCAGTGATTTCTATTGCTTTTTTGCATTTCATTCACTCTATTATTCAGCTCTGGAATTTTTGTTTAAACCTTTTTTACTATTTCCAGCTCTTTTTCAAAAAAAGATTTTATTTATTTATTTGAGAGAGAGAGAGAAGGAGAGCAAGTCAGGGGAGGGACAGAGAGAGGGTGAGAGAATCTCAAGCATACCCGGAGCTCGATCCCATGACCCTGAGATCATGACCTGAGCCGAAATCAAGAGTCAGACACTTAACTGACTGAGCGACCCAGGTGCCCTTCCAGTGCTTTACTAAATTTCTCGTTTTATTCATATAGTGTTTTTCTCGTTTTATTGAATTGGCTTTTTTTTTTTTAAGATTTTATTTATTTATTTTAGAGAGAGCGTGTGTGTGAGTGGGGGGAATAGTAGAGGGAAAGAGACAAGCAGACTTTGCACTGAGAGTAAGTAGGATGCATAGCTGGATCTCATGACCTGAGGCAAAATCAAGAGTCAGACGCTTAACTGACTGAGCCACCCAGGCACCCCTGAATTGGCTTTTTGTGTTTTCTTGTAGCTCATTAAGTTTCCTTAAAACTGCTCTTTTGAATTCTTTTTTGGATAAATTACAGATCTCCATGTGTTTGAGGTCAATTACTGGAAGATTTGGTGTCATATATCCTTGACTTTTTATATTCTTTGAAGTTTGGCATTGCTGTCTTTGCTTTTGAAATAGCCTTTAACGACTACCTTTCCAATGTGTCCAAACCTGATTTTTTTTTTTTGCTCTGGTGGTGTGCTAGAACTTTTCTGCAGGAAATCTGGTTTTCCAAAATGTCTCTCTCATCCATGGGTGATTATCTAAGACAGTGTTTTCCAGGGGCTCCCAGATGTGGCTGAGAGGAAGGGGTTGGAACCAGTTTATGGGCTATTGCTGGGTCCACAGCTGGACATGTAGTGAGTGTTCCCGTTACCCAATACATGGGTAAGCAAGACTTTTCCTAGGTCCCTTGGTGTATGGTCCTTGATTCCACAGCTCCTACAAAGAGATCCATAGCAGTTTTGTCCCCACAAATGACATTGGATTATAATTGTATATTTATCTTTCTTTGAAGCAAGGGATGTGTATTTCCTTGTATATGGTTGGATTTCATAACTGTTCTGTGAATTAATAAATGTTCATTGAGATGGGTAACAGAATTTTACAAAAAATATTGTTTTTATTTTTTACCAGTAAAATTATTAGAAAACATTGGCTTTTTAATGGATATTCTAATTGGATTTTTTAAAGTAGTGATCCTGGTTTGCATATGAAGGGAGTAAGGAAAGATGAAAATGAAAAATGGACATCAGAAGTATCTGTGATTACACCAGGACTTGAGAAGGCTGATTCCCTACCTTCTCATCCACCACAAGTGAATGATGACAGCACTTCAAGTGAAATGGATCAGGATGAAGTAAGGTAAAATCTATAAATTCTTTATTTTCCTCTGAAGGAAGTTTAGCAGTGATTACTTTTTATGGAAATAAAACGCTGTCGTGTACGTACAGGCTAAGGCAAGAAATACTCAAGTATATCAGATACACTGCTTGAAAGGTTAAGATGAGGACAAGTGACTTTGACAAGGAGCGGTTTCAATAGTCACCATGGAAGCTGGACTGTAATGAAAAAGTATAAACAACTCCTTAGAGAAATTTTACAGGGAGAGGTAATAGAGAAATGGATGATAACTGAAAAAGAATGTGGAATTCAAGGGAGTTTTCTTTCTTTTTTAATTTTAAGATGGGAGCTTTAGAGTACATTTATATGCTGCTGGAAATGATCTGATAGAGATAGACATGGTTATTTAATTTTGTTTGCATTTCCAAATATTAGAAAGCTTATTGATTGTATTACATTATCTTTTTTTTTTAAGATTTTTTATTTTTTATTTTTTAAAGAGAATACAAGCAGTGGGAGCGGCAGGCAGAGGCAGAGGGAGAGGGAGAAGCAGGCTCCCTGCCTAGCAGGGAGCCGGATGTGGGGCTCGATCCCAGGATCATGACCTGAGGCGGAGGCAGACGCCTAACGTCTAAACTAAGCCACCCAGGCGCCCCTATTTTAAGATTTTTTTATTTGCTTGACACACAGAGAGAGAATGCACAAGCAGGGGGAGTGGCAGGCAGAGGGAGAGGGAGAAGCAGGCTCCCCGCCAAGCAGGGAGCCTGATGTGGGACTCGATCCCAGGACCCCGGGACCATGACCTGAGCCGAAGGCAGATGCTTAATGACTGAGCCACCTAGGCTCCACTGTATTACATTATCTTTTAAAGATTACAGTAATTGTCCTTAGTACTCCTATTCATGTTGTTTTGTGGCAAGAGGTTGTTTTTTTGGTTTGGGGGAGGTTTTTTTGGATTTTATTTGACAGAGACATAGCGAGAGAGGAAACACAAGCAGGGGGAGTGGAAGAGGGAAAAGCAGACTCCCGCTGAACAGGGAGCCTGATGTGGGGCTCGATCCCAGGACCCTGGGACCATGACCTGAGCCGAAGGCAGATGCTTAACGACTGAGCCACCCAGGTCCCTGTGGCAAGAAGTTGTTGATTCAGAATTGGTTCCCCAGTGGAGTATTCTCATATAATTGAATGTGTAGAGAGTATCATTCATAGACTTAAAAGTATATAAATGATAGTAAATATACACTCTTAGGCCATTCTGAATAGAACTAATCATTCCTTGGTGATTTTAGATATTCAGTGCCTTTGACAGAATCATGAATAGCTATGGTTTTGTTAGGGACTTTGAAGTATCTGGTTGCATTAAGTTAATATTTGTTTCGATTCTGGGGAAAGGGGAAAGACTTTCTAATTGAAAAATAAACTATTATTCTATCATAGATTATTACTTTTAGATTATAAAGTTCTAAATGACAAAAGCCATGGTTCCTGTACCAACTGTGTTTGACACATATTGTGTGCTCAGTAAGTATATATTTGTGAATAAACAGTTGAATAAATAGATGAATGCCATTGATGAACTTCTTCAGAAGAAGCAGATCTTTAGTTTATGGAAAGTAGATTTTCAATATTGCCTAGGTATGAAGTCTTTTTATTTTAAAAAAATATGTGTAAGATCCATAAATTATTATTTATAATTATAGCTAGAAATGGAATAATAGTAGATTCATTTGCTGTCATATTACTTGGAAACTCTTAAATATTACCTTCACCACATACTGTAAAACACACGTTTTGAAGGCACATATCCTGGATTTGAATTCTGGGTCTACTCCTGACCAGCTGTATGGGCTTGGGGAAGTTACTTATTTCTGTGCCTCATTTTCTTCCTGTGTAAAATGCCTAATATAATTAACTATGTTTATAAGATTGTTGTGAGGCTTAAAATACTTTTAAGATGTGTAAGGTGTTCATAGTAATGCATAGTAGTTGTACAGTAAATCCTCAAAATACTAGTATCATGATTATTAAAAAAGGGTTTCTTTCATATAAGAACTTAACTTGCACTTTCCCAATAGTTTTTAGAGCCAATAAAAGGTTGTTTTTATTGAAAATGACAACAAAAAATGTGGTATTTTTCTTCGTATCAAATAATGCAAGTAACATTATGCTTTTCCTTTGCTTTTTGTCCATTTGATCTAAATTTAATGCTTAGTATTATTAATATTGTTTAGATATGATTTAGATATTCTTTGTATTTTAAGTATTTAATATTTGCCTGAAAAGAATTGTTTTTTTTTAGACCTGCAAAGAAAACATCTCATGAAAAGAAAGAGGTAAAAAAATATGTATAATTGTATTTCATTTATTTTTTAATTTTCACTTTATTATATTACTTTGATAAATAATATTTATTAGAAATATTATTCCATGGTAAAAAATTACTTTAGGAAGGGTATAGTGAAAAAATAGAAAATCTTCCTTTGTTGTATAGACATTTATTGTGAAAAAGTTTTTCAGAAGTACTAATTATTGATAAAGGTCGTTTTGATAAAAATCAGTTCTTTTAAAAAATACTTATGTTTTTGCTCTTATAAAAAGATGGGTATTTATCATCTCTCTACACTTAGTATATTTTATGAATATTTGGGGGACATTTTGAAATAGTATTTTTTATTTGTAGGTCAAAAAGCAAATTAATTTTATGGATGACCTTGACTTAACGGAGTCATCTGGAACAGCTTCAGAGGATTCCAAGTTGCCTTGCTCTAAGTATATGAGTTGCAAGTCGCTAATTGTACCAGTTGGCCAGGATCGTAAAGGTAGGACCATTGTATAAGTAGAAAGCCTTTGTATGTATATTACTGTAGCAATATGTGCCCATCTTGTATAGTGCTGTACCACACAACACTCATGAGCTACTCATCTCAGAAATATGTTTTATATGAGAATAGAGAACTGTTGAATACTCTCAGCCAAAGGGCTATAATTTCCACTCTATGTTTTGTCATGGGAATGGCACACCTGATGTGTTGTTAACTCCGCTTCTCTTCTGTGCCTTCACCCAAGGTCAGGTTACCATTATTTTTCTCCTAGAATACTGAAATAGCCTCAGGACTGTTTTCCCTGTCATTCCACCTCCCAGAATATTGGTCTACGCTGCAACCATAGTTATCATAATCTTTAAAAATTCATGTTTCATCACGTTACCCCCTTGCTTAAAGCTTAGCTACTACTTCTCATTGCTCTAAGGTGAAAGACCACAGCACTCTAGCTTCATCTTGTATTGTTTCATATCCTTCTTTTTTTTTTAATTTTTATTTTAAAGATTTTATTTATTTGACAGAGAGAGACACAGCGAGAGAGGAAACACAAGCAGGGGGAGTGGGAGAGGGAGAAGCAAGCTCCCCGCGGAGCAGGGAGCCGGATGCGGGGCTCGATCCCAGGACTCTGGGATCATGACCTGAGCCGAAGGCAGACTCTTAATGACTGAGCCACCCAGGCGCCCATGTTTCATATCCTTCTTTCCATCTGTGTCTCAGCCATGTTTTAGATGTTTTTTCGTATAATAGAGCTTTTTTTTTTCCCCAACAGCTTTAGTTATGTAAACTGCACATATATGAAGTGTGTAATTTGATAGTTTTGACATATGTATATGCATATGAAACCATAACCGTAATTCAGGCAGTCAACATATCTATCACCCGTAAGTCTCATGTCTCTTTATATTCCCTTGTTATGAAACTGCCAAATTGTTTTCTAAAGTAGTTGTACCATTTTGCATTCCCACCAGCAGTGTATGAGAGTTCTAATTTCTCCCTGTATATTCATGAACACTTAGTATTGTCAGTTTTTTAAATCTTAGCCATTCTGATGTGTATGTAATATATATATCATTATGGTTCTTTTATTTTTATCATTATGGTTTTAATATACATTTCCCTAATAACTTATAATGTTGAACATATTTTTATGTGCTTATTTGGCATTTGTATATCTGCTTTGAACTATCCAAATCCTTTGTCATTTTAAAAATTAGGTTGTTTTCTTATTTGTTGAGTTTTGAGAATTCTTTGTATATTCTAGATATAGTTCCTTTATCATGTATATATACAGTTTAAGATTTTATTTATTAATTTGACAGAGAGAGACAGCTACAGAGGGAACACAAGCAGGGGGAGTGGGAGAGGGAGAAGCAGACTCTCCACTGAGCAGGAAGCCCAATGTGGGGCTCGATCCCAGGTCCCCAGGATAATGACCTGAGCTGAAGGCAGATGCTTAACGACTGAGCCACCCAGGCGCCCCTCACCTATATTTTTTTGTAAAGATTTTCTCCCAATCTGTGACTTTTCATTGTCTCAACAGTGTCTTTTGAAGAGCAGTTTTTCTTTTTGATGAAATCCAGTTTATCCATTTGTTCTTCTATGGATTTTTGCTTTTGGTGTTCCTATCTAGGAAATCTTTGTCTAGCACAACGTCAGAGGTTTTCTCTCATGCTTTCTTTTAGAAGTTTCGTAGTTTAAAATCGAAGTTTTATAGTTTTAGGTCTTACCTTTAGATCTGTGATCCATGTCATCCATTTTGTATTTTTTTTTAAATTATATATTTATTTATTTGACAAGGAGTGAGAGAGCATGAGCAGGGGCAATGGCAGGCTCGGGGAGAGGGAGAAGCAGGCTCCCGCTGAGCAGAGAGCTGGACATGGGGCTCGATCCCAGGACCCTGGGATCATGACCTGAGCCAAGGCTCAGCCAACTGAGACACCCAGGCGCCTCCATTTTGTATTCTTTTTTTTTTGCTTATGATGCATAGTATGGATCCAGGTTCATTCTTTTTGCATATGGATATCCAGTTCCAGCACCATTTGTTGAAAAGGCTGTATTTTCTCCACTTCATACCATTGTGTCTTTATCAGGATCAGTTGACCATATGTGTATGGGTTTTTTTATGGTACTCTATTCTGTCCCATTGATCTCTTTGGCCTTCTTTATGTCAATATCATGCTGTTGTAATTACTACCAGTTTATGATAATTTTTGAAATCAGGTAGTTAGTGTTAGTCCTCCAGTTTCGTTCTTTTTCAGGGTTCTTTTGCTGTTCTCTCCTAGATCCTTTGTTTTTCCAGAACATGAATAGTATTTATTTTATTTATTTATGTTTTCCACATGAATTTTAGAGTCAGCTTCTCATTTTCTAAAAAAAACAACTCTGGTGGTCTTCTGGAGATCAGGTTTGGATTATGTTGGATCTACAGATTAATTTTAACAATATTGAATTTTTCAACCCCAGAGTATCTCTCTCCAATTATATAAATCTTCTTTAATTTTCTTGGTAATATTTTGTAGTTTTTAGTGTATAGGTCTTTTTATCCTTTATGATATTACCTGTGGTTATTTTTTATTTTGCAATGCAGTTTCAATTTTTTAATTAATTAAAATTAATTTTAATTCTTAAATTTTAGTTTTTTATTGCTAATATGTAGAAATACAGTTGATTTTTGTATAATGATTCTTTGTCCTCCAAACTTGATGAGTTCATTTATTAGTTCTAGTAGCTTTTTAAAAAATTCTGTCAGATTTTCTACATAACCAAAGGTTATCAAACTTTAACTGCTGTTTTACTAATTTCTTAAGGTGGAGCGAAAGGTCATCAATTTAAGACTTTTCTTCTTTTTTAAAATATACATTCAGTGCTGTAAATGCTCATATGAGTGCCACTATAGCAGGGCTTCAGAAATTCTAACATGTTATGTGTATTCAGTTCAGAATACTTTCTAATTTCTTTTTTCAGTCCTTCTTTGACCCAGGGGTTATTTAAAGATTTTATTTATTTGAGAGAGAGAGAGAGCATGAGCTGGAGGGGAAGGAGCCTTCCCTCTGAGCAGGGAGCCAAATGTGGGGCTTGATCCCAGGACCCTGAGATCATGACTTGAGCTGAAGGCAGACGCTTCATCAACTGAGCCACCCAGGTGCCCTGACCTAGGGGTTATTCAGATGTGTGTTAATTAGTTTGTGGTCGCAGAGCACACTTTCATGACTTCAGTCCTTTTGACTTACTCCTTTTATTACAATTTATTTTATGACCCAAAATATAGTCTCTTTTGGTAAGTGTTCCATGGATACTTGAGAAAAATGGTGGTGTTCCAGTCTACTATATCCTTGCTGATTTTCTGCCTATTGAAATCTCAGACTATAATTGTGAATTTGCCTGTTTCTCTGTAATTCTATTGATTTTTGTTTATGTATTTTTGAACCTTTTAATAGATGCATAAACATTTAGGTTTGTTATGCTTCTTTTAATTGACCCTTCTATCATTATAAAATGACCTAAATTATTGCTGCTAATGTTTTTTGCTTTGAAATCTATTTTGTCTCGTATTAATATAGCCACTCTGGCCCAGCGTTCTTTTGTCAAGTTGTTAGTGTGGTCTCTCATATTTCTGGCCTTTTAAAAAATTTGTGTCTTTACACTTAAAGTGTATTTTTTTAATAGGTGGCATATAGTTGGGTCTTCCTTTTTCATCCACTTTGACAGTCTGCCTTTTAATTGAGGCTGTTAGAGCATTTTCATTGAATGTGATTATTGATGTAGTTGATTTGAATCTGTCATCGAATTGTTTGACTTCCATTTGTCTTTTCTGCTTTTTGCTCCTATTCTCCTTTTTCTGCTTTCTTTTAAATTAATCAAGGAATCTTTTTGATTTAGTTTTATTTATGTGAGTATGTATATGTATGTATTTTGCTTACTCTAGCTATAACTCTTTAGTTGTGCTATTTTAGTGATTAGGGTTTAAAGTATATGACTTAAGCATCACAGTCCACCTTTGAGTAATGTTATGCCCCATCATAGTAGTTTAAGAAAACTATAATAGCTTACTTCCATTTCTTCTCTCCTAGCCAGATTCTTCTGGGTCTGTGGGATTGTAGTTTTCATTATTTTGAAAGGTTTTGGTCATTTTTTCTCTTCTTTTTTAAAGATTGTATTCATTTATTTGAGAGAAGGTGAGTGAGAGTGTACGAGCAGGGGAAGGGGCAGGGCAGAGGGAGAAGCAGACTCCCCAGTAAGCAGGGAGTCTGACACGGGGCTTGATCCCAGGACCCTGAGATCATGACCTGAGCTGATGGCAGACACTTAACCGACTGAGCCACCCAGGCACCCCTAAAATATCTTTTATATTGAAGTCATTCAGTATATAATTGTTTAAAGTATGAGTGAGTGAATGTGAAAGCACACAGTCCTTTATATGCAAAAAGTACTCACATATTTTATTTCTTTTTTTTAAAGATAAGTTATTTGAGAGAAAGAGAGCATGAGTGGGGGGTGGAAGAGAAGAACAGAGGAGAAGTCGGGGGAAGAACCTCAAGCAGACTCCGTGCTGAGTGTGGAGCCCGACGTGGGGCTCGATCCCACGAGTTTGAGATTATGACCTGTGCTGAAACCAAGAGTTGGATGCTTAACCAACTGAGCCACCTAGGTGCCCTATATATTTTATTTTTTTTGTTTTTTCTCTGATGTAGATTCTACTACTTTACTAAAAATCCAGGATGTGATTCTTTCATATAAAAAATTAGTAGAACTTAAAAAAAATCAGTGTAAACAACTTAAAAGAAAAAATAAAGAAATGGAAAATAAGGTTAATGGACTACAAAAGGAGCTATCAGAAACAAAAGAGTTGAAATTGCAGTTGGAGCATCAAAAAGTGAAATGGGAACAAGAACTTAGCGATTTGAGGTATGACATCTTGGTTTTAAGGAAATATTTGAACTATTTACCTCACAGCTGTGAGGTCAAGAGTCACATGCTCTACCAACTGAGCCAGCCAGATGGCCCTTGAACTATTTCCTTTTGTACTACAGATGTGTAGAAGTTTGATAATTGCTAACTTACCTTCTGGAATTTTTATAGGGAAGAAAACTTCTTTAGTAGTGTGAAGTATGAGATTCTTCAAAATAATTCAGCAAGTTCTTGACAGTGAATACTTCTACTGATAATTTAATGTATATTCCAAATCATAATTTTAATGACCATATAGAAGTCCACCATATGGAATCCTCATTATTTAACAAATTGAATATTGGTTATTTTCCATTTTTCTATACTTTAATAAGTGCTGTAAGGAATGACTTTTATATAAATCTGTTTCTACAATTCTGGTTACTTACTTGGAATAAATTCTTCAATATCGTATTGTTTGCTTAAAGTATAAAAATTTTTAAAGAAGGTCTTTGATCCTATTTTTAAATTGTTCTCTGGGAAGTTTATATTAATTTATATGCCTATCAACAGAGTATGAAATGGCCGTTTATCTCAAGATAGGAAAAATTTTAAAAATTTATTCAGTTTTAAACATATGCAGCAATTAAAAAGTAAAATGGAAAATGATTACTGCTAAGTTTTTTCAAAATCTCTCTTATAAAATTAATCCAGAAGTCTATGCTGTAAGCACATATGACTCTTTATTGTTTCCTTAATTAATATGGATCCTGTGTTCTAAAAGGGGTTTTCAAATGATTTATAAAATGGATAATAGGGGTACCTGCATGGCTCAGTTGGTTAAGAGTCTGCCTTTGGCTCATATCATGATCCCAGGGTCCTGGGATTGAGCCCCATCTCCAGATCTCTGCTCGGCGGGGAGCCTACTTCTCCCTCTCCCTCTGCCTGCTGCTCCCTCGGCTTGTGCTCTCTCTCCCTGTCAAATAAATAAATAAAATATTTAAAAATGTAAAATGAATAATCAACAAGGTAAATTGAGAATATTGCAGAAGAAGAAACATAAAATGTATAGGGCAACAGATACTAGACTCCACAGCCTAGTCCTGGATCACAGTAATCTGCAGGTGTATGTTGTGTAAATGACATCTGCAGATGCTGTCTTAATACTGCAAATTATTTTTGGAGGTACCTGTGATGTTTTGTGAAGTAGAAATTTACTTCTATGGGGAATTTATAAACTTTTTTATAAAGAGCAACTTCTCTTTTTAATTAGTAACTAAATTATCTGTTCTAATGGAGGAGTAATTATGACTGTATGGGAAAAATGATAATTTTAATTCTAACTTTCTTGAATAATTTCAAAATTCCTTTCTCTACAATATCTACCAGAGTTAGTACTAAAACTTATTACTAAGCTGCATAATGCTTTCTCATTGCTTCTTTTCAACTATATATATCTTTTGGAAGAGATTGAAGTGAGAAAGTAAACATGAGCCCGAGAAAGGAAAAAAATTGAGAACATAGAAATTTCATTTGGCTAATAAACCAACATATGTGGAATCAGATCATAAAATGAACTTTTTATTACTTACAAAACATTTTAAAATGAGCACATTTATTTGCAGATTTACCTTCAAACAAGAAGAAGGAAAAAGAAGAAATGCTGATAAATTATATGAAAAAATGAGGGAGCAATTCAGAGAAAAAGAAGAGCAGTATAATAAAGAAGTTGAAATGAAACAACAACTTGAACTTCGTCTTGCAACAGTAGGTGCGGAATTGAGGACTATGAGAAATAATTTGGATCAGGTAAATCTTTGATAAAAATTGCATATTTCCATCAGTATTATTTATAATATACCCTTGATTTAATGTATATTATTTAGGTATAAAATAGATAAAAAATTTAATTTTATCCTAATAGGAAGTATAATATTTTTAGCTAAAATTATTAACTTATTGGAATTCTTGGCTTCTCATATATGCTCTCTATATATTTTCTGAATGAAGGGATAGAGGGTAAATTGAGATAAATGTGAATGTTGGCTTTTTTTTTTTAAGATTTTATTTATTTTTAGAGAGAGAGCATGAGCAAGGGAAGGAGTAAAGGGGGAGGGAGAGGGAGGGAAAAGAATCTCAAGCAGACTCTGTGCTGAATGAAGAGCCCGACTCAGGATTGGATCTTATAACCCTGAGACCATGACCTGAGCCAAAACCAAGGGTAGGACACTTAACCAACTGAGCCACCCAGGCACCCCAGTTTTGAATTTTTTATGTTAAAGTACAGGCTCAATCGCCTTGAGACTATGATGGAACTAGTTAAATGTTTTGTAAAGAAATTTTATTTTCACATACTATATCTTCTTGTATTTTTACTTTATGACAAATTTAGCTGTCATTTAAATTAAAATTTGAGTTATTCATGCAGGATAAAATCCTTGTATTTAAAAAGGCTACTTCTTTTGAACATTATTTTTAAGTTCTCTTAAACTTTTGACTTTTTTTTTTTAAAGATTTTATTTATTTATTTGGCAGAGAGATAGAGAGCACAAGTAGGCAAAGAGGCAGGCAGAGGGAGAGGGAGAAGCAGACTCTCCACTGAGCAGGGAGCCCGACGTGGGGCTCGATCCCAGGAACCTGGGAGCATGACCTGAGCCGAAGGCAGCCGCTTAACTGACTAAGCCACCTAGGCGCCCCTGACTTTTTTTTTTTTAATGGTGTGATTCAAAATCCTAATGAAAATATGTCTCTAGGTTGTGGAGGAGCGAAATGACGCTAAGTTACAACTTTCTCGAGAACAGAATGCCAGAGTATTACAAGATGGAATTCTAAAGAATCACCTTTGCAAACAAAAGGAGATAGAAGTGGGTAACAACAGAATGAATTCTGGGGTATTTTCTTTAGTTATTTTTAAGTACATGTGTGTATGTATTTATATGTATATACATTTTATTTTCTGAAATTATTATTTTTTCTCCATGTATGCATATATATATTTTTAAAACCAACACTGTAGATCATGGAAAGCATAGAGGATTTTTAAAGCATATATGTGTATGTGTGTGTGTATTTGCGGGGGCATAGTGGGTGGTGACATTTTTGGTCCAGTGGATAAAGTAATATCCTTAATTTAAATGCGTTTGTCTGCAAGAGTCAAATAGTGACATTCATCATGTCCTCATCCAAAGGAGAGGCTTTTATTATTTTCCATAAGAATTGTTGAGCTTTCTATATGCTTAAAACTATTGCTACTAACAACATATGTTTCAATTTTTGGCAGTTACTTCATCACCTCTGAATTGAAAGAGAAGTTAGCTTAACACTGCCACTGATGAACAGAAGAGTGTAGCCTGTTCAGAGACTTTCTTTTGGATTGAGTCTCTACTTTTGAGAAAAGTACCAATTTGCTCCAAGTAGTATCCTATTTCATTACAAGGCGCTTTTGAAACAATTATATGCTAATGACAACTTATTGATGAGTGTTTTATTCCTAATAAAATAGCTCAGTGTATTTTCCCCTATTTTAAACATCATGAAGAGGAAGTTAAATTTATTGCAGCAGCAAATAATCTCATGATTTTTCTAAGAGCTGTATAAATTTTACCTTATGTACCATCAGTATTTTGAAATATAAGGCTTCTTTTGTATGTATGATTTACACTAGAGAAGAGCTGCGGTTTGGTGTAAGAGACTAGTAGTGGAGGAAGAAGACCTGGGGAAAGTCCTGCAGCTCACTTAATGTTTTTAACCTCTCCATTCTAGAATTGTGATAACAAAAAGTTCACTGATGTCGGTAGAAGTGTTTATAGTACAGTGCCTAGATTTGTCAGTTATCAGTAGATGTAATTCTTATACGTGACTATAGAAATGTTAGAAAAGTAGAATTTGTATGGAATATTGTCAGGAAAAAAGAATTTTAGGAAATTGAATCTGTCAAAATAAATGTAGAGCTAGGGATTTTATTGTGGGGTAGCTGTGTTAGATATCAGACTGTAAATTCAATTTTTAGTGTAATCAGATTTATTAATCTTTTATTTCAGGCTTTCTGGGTTTGTTGAAAATCAAAGACCTTTCCAGTTCTGAGATTCTTAAAAATTCTGTCTTGGTTTCTTTTTTCCTTTCATGCATTCACACTCTTCAATTAAATTTTTGAAACTTTGGGAATTTATACTTGTATAGAGTTTGAGGTTTGGACCCAACTTTATTTTTTTCCAGTTGGGATATCCACTTACTGCAACCTATTCATTGTATAAACACAGGTTTTTCTTTAATTTCAGAGAAAATCAGGATAATGTCATTTTATTGAGTTCCAGCTAAAAGTCTCCTCTGTTTTACTTAGATATCTAATAGTCATAAAGAAGAAAAAGATCTGTTGCCTAAAACCCACTTGTGGCAGGATGAAATTGCCATGCTAAGACTGGAAATAGACACAATAAACAGTAAGAACCAGGAAATGGAAACTAAATATTGTGAAGACATTGAAATTATAAAAGAAAAGAATGTCAGTCTTCTAAAGACCATAAAACTGAAGGAGGAAACATTAACAAAAACAGTATTAGAATATAGTGGACAGATTAATGCCCTGACCACTGAGAATACAATGCTAAAGTCTAAACTGGAGAATGAAAAGCAAAACAAAGAAAGACTGGACACACAAGTTGGATCATTTCGAGCTAGACTAGCTACTGCTCTAGAGGATTATGATCAAAGTCAGGCGTCAAAAAGAGACCTAGAACTTGCTTTCCAGAGAGCAAAAGATGAATGGTTTCGTCTGCAGGACAAACTGAATTTTGATGTGTCTAACCTAAAAGAAAACAATGAGCTTCTTTCTCAAAACCTTTCTAAAGCTGAAAGTGAATTCAATACTTTAGAAATTGAGCTCCATCACACAAGAGATGCTCTCAGGGAAAAGACTTTGGTTTTAGAATGTGTACAAAGAGACCTAAGTCAAACACAGTGTCAGAAAAAGGAAATGGAACACATGTATCAAAATGAACAAGATAAAGTGAATAAATACATTGGAAAGCAGGAATCCTTAGTGGAGAGATTATCTCAACTACAAAGTGAAAATATGCTGCTTCATCAGCAACTAGATGATGCTCACAACAAAGCTGCCAGTAAAGAAAATGTAGTAATTAATATCCAAGACCAGTTTCAGGATATCGTAAAGAAACTTCAAGCTGAAAGTGAAAAACACGGTCTTTTGCTGGAAGCAAGCAATAGAGAGTTAATCAATGAATGTAATCTTTTAAAAGAAAGAATATATCAGTATGAAAAGGAGAAAGTAGAAAGAGAAGTAAGTATCCAGAAAGATAAATATTTTTCAAGCTTTCTAAGAGAAAATTCATATTTTTAGAGAGAAAGAGTGCACCTGCACAAGAATGGGAGTGGGGCAGAGGGAGAGGGAGAGAGAATCCCAAGAGGTCTCCACATCAGAGAACTCCACCTCATGACCCTGAGATCGTGACCTGAATGATTATTGCTGAATTTTGAATCTAGTTGAATATAAAAAATATATAGACTATGATTCAGCATAACTTGTATCCAGCAAATAAAAATTAGACTTGAGAGGGGCTTTAATTTGAATAAAATTGTTGTGTCATCTATGAAAGTTTAAGAGGTTAAGTTATAAATTGTTAATAGTAGGCTGATACTAATAATTTAGTCTTATACTGCTAAAATAATAATTTTAATCTTTGTCACTACATTTTAATACCATGATGAACAGATAAATGGAAATGTTCATACCTGCAATGAGCATGTTGAAATTGAGATTCAATTAAGTGGATTCACTTGACGGTTTACTCCAGATTTCCCACATGAACTGAAGTGTAGATGCTATCTCTCAGTACTTTTCCTCTGGTAGCTTTTTATACATTTTAGGTTGGAATAATTTTATTTTTATTTATATAAATTTGAATTTTTAGTCTGAAATCGTGTATCTTATGACCTTTTAACCCTTTGCAGGCACTTTTCATTAAATCATAATTTGGGACAACTGTGGTGAGCTTTAGCAAAACTGTTTGATTTAATGTTCCCACTGCTATTTATAATTTTTTAAGGCAATTTTACCAATAATTTGCTTATTTCAAAGCTCAATGACTATCATTTGGGCATAAGTTTGTCCAAAACAAAGAGAATTGATCTGCATTGGTGGTATAGTGCTGAGCATAGCTGCCTTCCAAAACAAAGAGAATTGTATCTGTAATATATTAATTTGGCATTGGATCTCCATTTTCAGACTAATGGGGGGTGGCAGGATTCTTGTATTGTAGCAGGAATGGAGGTCAGGGAGGGAGGTGAAAGCCAGGTTATCTAGGGCCTTGAAGCCCATTAGCATGACTTCACTTTTGTTCTGAGATAGTAATGTATTGGAAGGATTTGAGCAGAGGATTGAATATGTCAGGAACTTTGACATTAATTTAAGCCTCTAATAAAAAAGAGGGAAACCATGTCATCATGTAGAATTTACCACTGCTAGGCCCACCTATATACCCATTTCTTTTTGAGACTTCAGTAGGGTGGGAAGCTTTGCAGATTCATCAACAAGGAATGGAGAGTGGGGCTGAATTAATTATCTAAGTAACATAACACTGACTAGGCAGGAGGATAACACCTGTATGTGGTGATATTTTTTGAAGTACATATGTTAGTTATATATTATTAACATAACTTCATATAAGATAATTTATAAAATCAGTAACAGAAACGTCTTATTAGGTAACTGTGAGACACCTTCAACTAGAACTGGCTGATGCCCTAAAAAAACAATCTATGTCAGAAGCTTCGCTGGAGGTTACATCACGTTGCCGTATTAATTTAGAAGATGAGACACAGGATTTGAGGAAGAAATTAGGTCAAATCAGAAGTCAGGTATGTATTAAATGTAGCATGTCAACAGTTAATCTGTAACAGGTTAATATAAAGTGTTTTAGGATGCTAATTTCCATGGAACATTTTCTTTTGTATTTACATTATAATTTAGTGTAATTTTAGTATGTTCACAATGCACTGTGTCTCTAACTTTGACTTTCATTCTGCTATTTGTGTTATACATTTTTTTTTCTTACAGTATTTACCCTTAGGAAAGTTGAAACTGATTCATCATTCCTCACAGAAATTGAGGGACTTTTTTTTCCTACTGTACAATTTTTTTTAAAGATTTATGTATTATTTGAGAGAGAGCGAGAGTGCGTGCGCAGGCACATGCGTGAATGGGTGGAGAGGCAGAGGGAGAGGGAGAGAATCTCGAGCAGACTCCCTGCCCAGCACAGAGCCCCACGCCAGCTCAATTCCATGATCCTGAGCTGAAATCATGAGTTGGATGGTTAACCAACTGAGCCACCCAGGTGCAATGTTTTTTAATGATATCTCTGTTACCATGATGAGGTGAGCCATATAAAATCAGAAGATAATCTTTAATGGAATGTTTCAGACAATGGTCTTATTTCTCATGTTCACTTTTATGAACGGATATAGAATCTGTACTGATTTTAGGATAACTTGTACAGAAAAGTCATTTTACAAACCAGTTGAACTTAGGCATTTCCTTCATTTTCTTTTCCTTTTAGATATATTGTAAATGCATAGAAATATTCAGATCATGTGTAGTATATACACCCAAAAGAGAGAATTAAGAAATTAAGAATGGGTCCTTCCATTGGTTTCTTTTTTTTTTAAGATTTTACTTATTTGACAGACACAGCGAGAGAGGGAACACAAGCAGGGGAGTGGGTGAAGGAGAAGCAGGCTTCCCGCCGAGCAAGGAGCCTGATGTGGGGCTTGATCCCAGGACCCTGGGACCATGACCTGAGCCGAAGGCAGCCATTTAATGACTGAGCCACCCAGGCGCCCCCATTGGATTTTTTAAAAACTTTATTGAGATATAATGCACATACCATACAATTCACCCAGTTAACATGTATAGTTCAGTGTTTCTGATCATATTCATAGAGTTGTGCAACTATCACTGCCATCAAGTAGAACATTTTCATCACCCTGAAAAGAAACCTTTAGCCCTTGAGCCCCCAGCCTCAGGCAACCACCAGTCTACTTCCAGCCTCTATAGAGTTGCCTATTCTGAATATTTCATATAAAGGGGGGGTCACACAATGTGTGGTCCTTTGTGACTAGCTTCTTTTACTTAATGTTTTCAGGGTTCATCTGTGTTATAGCATATATCAGTGCTTCATTTTTTTTTTTTAATTGTCCAACAGTACTCCATTGTGGGCCAAAACCCTTGTTCATTCATCATTTGATGCACCTTTGGGTTGTTTCCCACTTTATGGCCATTAATAATGCTGCTCTGAACGTTGATTTAATTGTTGTCTGGACATCTGTTTTTATTTCCCTGCCATCAGATTTTTTCCTCTGAGTTAATTGGGTTGATTTCACCATCTCTCAGCCTTTTATTTATGCTGTCCTTTCTGTCCTTTTAGTTTCCCTTCCTCTTGCCTAATCCTACACTATTCAGACCTGGCTCATAGTCTCTCATTCTCCTTGAAGCTCTCTCTGACTATTCTAATTCCCACTGACTTTACTCTCTTCACAGTTGTCTCATCTAGTCTATGCAGAACAATTTAGTCCTTTATTTTACATTGGTTTTATTTTTTTCATGATAGATAATTTTGTCTATGTACACATTTATCTAAGGGGCAAAATATGGGATATGCATGGTACCTATCCTTGTATAAATTGAGAATATTTTTACAGTGTTTAGGATAAAATTAAGTACTTTATACCATATCAATAATTTCTGATTGAAAGCATTGACATAACAAAGCTTTTATTCTAAACGTATTTTAAGCAGTTAAATGTAAAATTGAAAGCATTTAATCTGACAGAGGAGAAGTGTTCAGTCAAATGCTTGTTTCTCCCGCCTCACTGTGGAAAACCCGTCTAAATTTGCCTTTGTTCATTTTGCAGCCAGTACTGAGATTACTTTACCAACTATAAAGCTCCGGGTACAGCTTTTTTTTTTTTTTTTTTTTTTTTACCTTTCCTTTTTGAAAGTTTGTTTGTTTGTGTATTTATTTATTTATTTATGTAATTTCTACACCCATTGTGAGGCTTGGACTCATGAGCCCAAGGTCAAGAGTCACGTTCTTCCCACTGAGCCAGCCAGGCGCCCCTGCGGACAGTTTTTTCTCATATGCCATACCAGGTAGCCTTAATGTATTCATCAGAGTACTTGCTAAAGCAGTGTAACAGAGACAGTTGTTAAGATAATATAAACATGACATGATTTGGGAATGTTGATTTAGCAAGAGTCCATTATTTCCACGTCAGTGGCTTTACCTTGCCTCTGATGGTCATATAAATATTTATTACTCAGTCTAGGAGGTACTATTTGCACTGTAGTCCATGAGATTGTCCACTGAGTAGAGAGGAAGGAAGTTAAAATTATTATAAGTGGAAAAAAGTACTGTTAGCTAGTGGAATTGGTAAAAGTTTTTTGAAGTGTGGAGGATGTATTCTGGGCCTCATGCTCCCCATTTGCTGCCACTTTCAGTGGTGTGAAGAACGATTTCAGTATAACTTGTATGAGAGACCACTTTCATTGGCCTACCATCTGCCTAAAATATGAAATATTATTAGAACATAACCTATAGCAACAACAATAATGCTAATTGCAGACAGAATCTGGTATGTGCCACATACCCTTCTAAATAGTTCATGTATAGGGGCACCTGGGTGGCTCAGTCGTTAAGCGTCTGCCTTCGGCTCAGGTCATGATCCCAAGGTCCTGGGATCGAGCCCCGCATCGGGCTCCCTGCTCGGCGGGAAACCTGCTTCTCCCTCTCCCACTCCCCCTGCTTGTGTCCCCTCTCTCGCTGTTTCTCTCTCTCTGTCAAATAAATACAATCTTTAAAAAATAAAAATAAAAATAAATAGTTCATGTATACTTCCTAAATTAATCTTCCCAACATCCCAGTGTGTAGATACTATTTTTATCTTCATTTTACGAAGAAGAAACTGAGACACAGAAATTTTAAGTAATTTGTTCAGGTCACACAGCTAATACCCAGTGTTCAGACCCCAGGCATTCTGGTTCCTACGAAGATAATGCCTCTCATACTATTCCATGAAATATCTAGTTGTCACTGAAAGCAACATGTTAACTTTTATAATCACTGGAACAGCCATGGTCATTCACATATGTGAATATTTAAAAGTAGAATGGATGTGGTACTTCGAATACAAAAACAGAAATGTTTACCATAAGGTAATTTCGTATCTTTCCCCCTTTGACCAATATATAAATTTGTAGGTTTAGCTGATAAAATATAATTTAAAAACATTAAAAACGTGACATTTTAGTAACTAGAGAAGTCAGCAAACTTTTCTGTAAGGGGATTGTAAATATTTTATTTTATTTTAAGATTTTATTTATTTGAGAGAGAGAAGGAACAGCGGGGAAGGGCAGAGGGAGAGAGAGAGAGAGAAGCAGACTCCCTGTAAATATTTTAGGCTTCGTAGGCCATAGGTCTCTGTTGCAGCAGTTCAAATCTGCTGTAGCCATAAAGCAGTATGTAGAGGAGAGTGTGGCTGTGTCCACTAAAATTTTATTTACAAAAACAGCTGATGGTGGTTTTATACTAGATTGCCAGTAGTTAAAAGTATTTCTTTTTTTTTTCTTTTTTAGTTGCAAGAAGCACAAGATCGACATGCAGAGGCTGTAAGATGTATTGAGACGTCGAAAGATCACGTGCAAAAGTACAATTTAAAGCAGCACAGAAAATACTTGAGTATTTATAAAGCAGAGAAGCAGTGTAGGATGAGAAATATATCAGTTATGATAATAAGTACATCATTGTTAAGCTGGATAAAACTTCCAGCTTTGCGCTATTTGGAAATGCATAAATTTTGCATATTATCTTTAAATTTTGCACATTAACTATAAAACACAACCAGAAAAATGGCACAATTGCCAAATCTTCTACTTTTTAAATTTTTAAGAATTTATGTAAGACCGTCAGATGTTTGTTTAGAAATTATACGGTACTTTTAAAATTTATGTGTGAGAATAATTTTAAAATATTCATTTTAGGCTTGAAGTTGAAAATGCCAAGTTAAAAGTTACAGTCAAAAAACAAGCGTGCAAAATTGAACAACTTCAGGAAAACCTGTTAAGTACAAGTTTGGTAAGTCAGTCTCTTAATTTCTGTCCTACTGAAAAGGAATTTTTATTTCTCTAGTAGTAGTATATAAGACCATTTTGGATAATATGAAAATTCTCACTAATAAAAATGTTTATTGTATTCATATTGTTGCTACTTGCTACTGGTAGTATAATTCCTCTTTATAGATGAAGTTGACTGAATTCATAAATTAATAATTTTTATAGTAAGATTGTAATAAAAAAGATTGTGGTAGTCTAAGATAAGCAATATTTTATACATACCACATTTTATTTATCTATCTGGCAGTGGACAATTGAGTTTTTCTACCTTTTGGCTACTGTTAGTAATGCTGCTGTGAATATTGGCATACAAACGTCCGAGTCCCTACTAATATTTTTCAGTATGTTTAAAAAACCGAAACTTTGAGTCATAATTTGATATTGAATTCTGACTTTCTCTTGTAATCTAAACCCTTCCGTGAGATTTGAGAATGGATTACTTTCATGATAATTTGTTGTGATTTGTAATTATAAATTTGTAATTTGTTGACTTCATCAAGAATGACTACTAGATCATTATGCAAACATTTTTCTCAAAGGAATATATTTTTCTCTTTGTTGGATTTTGAAAAGGAAAAGAGATGCCAGTGAAAAAGTGGAAATGACTGCTCAATCAGGGCCTTACATAGTAACATAGTGCTCCTAGCATTCACTGCAAGTTCAGGAACTTTTTTTTTTTTTTCATTAATTTGAGTTAATCAGCCTTTCAGAGATTTAGCAATCGAATCTCAGAAAAGATTAATGTGCAATCCGGGATTACAACTTATTGATACGTAGTGCAAACTATATAACTATTTACTAAGCAGAACCGGATTATCATGCCATTTATACCCTCCTTCATAGGAGAGGCTACCAATGATTTAAGATGAGAAGACTGCATTGTGAGTCCTAGGTTGGAACAATGAGGTAGATGCACCTACCACTAGTTTCTTTTAGTCACAGAAGCTGCATCCTTGCAAATTTCATTATACAGCTATACCTATCAGGGGAACTAGCACATTCTGTTGACTGGTCCTTTTTGTGGCCAAAGAAACATCGAAAGTTTCTAAAGTCAGACGATCATCAAAACTGTAATGGGGACTGCATGGGAATCAAAAATTATTTTTTTTCTAGATTTCCTATAAATTAGTCACATTGTATTACTATAGTTTTCATTGAGCAAGTAAGGTGACGATATGTGAATGAGAATGCCAGGAGTTGTCCCCCTACGGTGTCATATAGAAATCTATTAAGGAAGCTATCAAATCTTGTAAAGTTTGTAAGAATATCCGTAGGTATTCTGTAGATTCCAGTGGAAATGAATTAGGGTTGTGACATAAAATTATTAGCCACTTTAAGGTCTACCCTGTGAAACAAACACTTAGCTTTCAACCAACTCAGTCCATAGTCCTAACATCTCTAGAAGGATTTTATCTCATGAATCCCCAGGCCAGAGACTACCTGGGTTAAGATATTTGATGGACATAGTTTTGAGGTGAAGTCTGGATTGGGAAGAAGAGATAGCTCTAGGCTGACTTAAGCTTCCAAACAATATAGTCAAGTATGTGTCTGAAAAGAACTTCAGAAGAAGACTTCCATAAGATCCAATCTCTATGGAATAGGAAATTATTCAAAAGAAAACAAAGGCAAACAATTGATAGTCTGACCGTTGGGAGAAACATTTGCATCAGAAAAGAAAAGCAAGACAGAGTATGGTGGTCAGCATCCTAAGGGTAAGGGTGCCCCCTGAGATGACAAAATAACAATACACTCAAAGTAATACCAAAAAGAGTCAACATAAAATGTACAAAGTTAGCTATCTAGGGGTACCTGGGTGGCTCAGTCAGTTAAGCGCCTGCTTTCGGCTCAGACCATGATCTCAGGGTCCTGAGATCGAGCCCTGCTCAGCTGGGAGTCTGCTTCTCCCTCTCCCTCTGCTCCTTCCCCTATTCATGCACTCTCTATTTCAAATAAATAAATTTTTAAAAAATTTAAAAAAATTAGCTGTCTATAAAGGTAATCCACATCAGGTAATGGTTTTTGAGTGTGTGGTTGAGAATATTGTCTATGAGGAACTAGAAGGAAGATCAAAAAGTAGAGATGACCTCAGTAAAGGGGTCAAGGCTGGAAATGTAGATTAAAGAATCTGGTTTTGAAGCCTTGAGATTTAACGAAGTCTGAGAGGATTTGATAAGAGGAATAGCAAAGGTCAGGGACTAACCACGGTTGCTGTCATTTAGAAATAAAATGGGTTTAGAGAGCAGAGGGAGGGCATAGTCATTGTTTTCAGCTGTTGCTGAGAAGTAAAGCAGGATAAAGACTTTAAAAAAAAAGATCCTTGATGACCCTCAGAATTTTTTAGTGGAATTCCAGGATTGAAACTTGATTTTAATGTAAAAGAAGAAAATAAGTGTTGGAAAGATGAATCTGTGGATGAGATGACACATTAAAGAATGCTCAAGTCCAGTGAAAGGGGAGAAGCAGGATGATAGAAAAAGCAGCAAGAGTGAAGCAAAAGTTTTTATGTAATATCGAGAAGACTTAAACTTTATTTAAAGAGAAAGGTAGTTAATAGAACAGAAGAAATTGAAACCTTGCGGAGATGCTTGCAATGCTTGCAGAGAAGGAGAGTATCTCATTCTAAAGTCAGACGATCATCAAAACTGTCATGGGGACTGCATGGGAATTTTTCAGAGATTATCTTAAAAAGGTATGATCTCACAAAACCCAGAGTATCTTAAACTTTGGATGAAAATATTTCTAGGGCATCTTTAGAAACTAAAATGTAAATATAACCACTTTTTAAAATTTTTCATTAACAGTATTAATATGGGTAAGAACCTCTGTATTTAACAAGTAAATTCTGGCAGTTTAAATTCTGGAAAAAATAATGATGAAAATGTAAAATCAGTTTAAGCTGTTTTTAAGAAAGGTCCTTATATTTGAAATTTGTATTTATTGGCATCAGGTTTATAAAACTATATTATGTAAAACTTAAAATTATAAATTTCAAACTACATTATATAAATTTAAAATTATAAATTTATAGAATTTATAAAATGTAGTTTATGAGCCTTTCTAAACACTTTATTACTTATGAATTCATGAGAAACAATATTTTATGATAGAAGAATGAGTATCTTGTTTTTCAAATATAATTTTCTTTAAAAAATTTTTTCAAAGTCTGATGAAAAGGGACAGATAAAGAAATTGATTGAGTTGAAACAATCTCTGGAATGTAGTTTGGATCAAGAAATGAAGAAAAATGGTGAATTAGAAAAAGAGATGACTAGGTAAGATTGTAATATTTCAGATAATTTTAACCATTCATTAACTGATTTAACTGTAATTTTACTTTATTAAATACAAATTCTTGGCAAAATATTACACTTACTCTTTAATGATTCCTTAAATAATAACAACAGTTCCTTTAACAATAACAACTGTAAGTTTCATTGTCCATCTTGAAGAGTTTCTGCAAGATATCTTTGTTCTTTGGCAATATTTCCTGTTAATAGTGTTCTTCCCTTCCAACAAGTATTTTAATATCTAAAAACCTATGTCACTGTTTAATCATATCAAAATTTATCTTGGTTTGGCTTATATATATATATTTTTTTATATTATTTTTTAAATTTAAATCAGTTAACCAACATAAAGTATATTAATTTCCAAGGTAGAGTTCAGTGATTCATCAGTCTTATATAACACCCAGTGCTAATTACATTAGGTGCCCTCCTTAATGTCCACCATCCAGTTACCCCATCCTTCTCCCCTCCTCCGCTCCAGCAACCCTCAGTTTGTTTCCTTTGATTAAGAGTCCCTTGTGATTTGTCTCCCATTCTAATTTCATCTTGTTTTATTTTCCCCTCCCTTCCCCTATGCTCCTCTGTTTTGTTTCTTAAATTCTACATAAGAGTGAAATCAAATGATAATTATCTTTCTCTGACTGACTTATTTGGCATTATACCCTCTAGTTCCATCCACGTCATTGCATGATTTCATGTTTTTTATTGGCTGAGTAATAGTCCATTGTATATATCTACACATCTTCTTTATCCATTCATCTGTCAATGGACATTGGGGCTCTTTCCAGTTTGGCTATTGTGGACATTGCTGCTAAAAACATTGGGGTGTAGGTGCCCCTTCGGATCACTACATTTGTATCTTTGGGGTAAATCCTTAGTAGTGCAATTGCTGGGTCATTGGGTAGCTCTATTTTCAACTTTTTGAGGAACCTCCATACTGTTTTCCAGAGTGCCTGTACCAGCTTACAGCCCAGCAGCAGTGTAAGACGATTCCCCGTTGTCTGCATCTCCACCAACATCTGTTGTTTCTGACTTGTTCATTTTAGCCATTCCAACAGGTGTGAGGGGATACCTCCTTGTGGTTTTGATTTGTATTTATTTCCCTGATGCCAAGTGATGTTGGGCACTTTTCCATGTGTCTGTTGACCATTTGAATGTCTTCTTTGGAGAAATGTCTGTTCACGCCTTCCACGCGTTTCTTCACTGGATTATTTGTTCTTTGGGTGTTGAGTTTGATAAGTTCTTTTATATAGATTTTGCATACTAACCCTTTATCTGATATGTCATTTGCAAATATCTTCCCCGATTCTGTCAGTCGTCTTTTGGTTTTGTCGACTTCTTCCTTTGCTGTGCAAAAGCTTTTTATCTTAATGAAGTCTTTGTTTCCCTTGCCTTTGGAGACGTGTCTAGCAAGAAGTGGCTGCAGTCCAGGTCACAGAAGTTGCTGCCTGTGTTCTCCTCTAGGATTTTGATGGGTTCCTGTCTCACATTTAGGTCTTATATCCATTTTGAGTCTATTTTTGTGTATGTTGTAAGAAAATGGTCCAGTGTCGTTCTTCCGCCTGAGGCTGTCCAATGTTCCCAAAACCATTTGTTGAAGACACTTTCTTATTCCATTGGCCGTTCTTTCCTGCTTTGTCAAAGATTAGTTGACCATAGAGTTGACGGTTCGTTTTTGGGTTCTCTGTTCTGTTTCATTGGCCGATGTGTCTGTTTTTGTGCCAGTACCATACTGTCTTGATGATTACAGCTTTGTCGTAGAGCTTGAGGTCCAGAATTGTGATGCCACCAGCTTTGGTTTTCTTTTTCAACATTCCTTTGGCTGTTCGGGGTCTTTTCTGGCTCCGTACAAATTTTAGGATGATTTGTTCCAGCCCTGTGAAACAAGTTGATGGTATTTTGATAGAGATTGCATTGAATGCACAGGTTCCTCTGTGTAGCGGTAGCATAGACATTTTAACAAATTTGTTCTTCCAATCCATGAACATGGAGTATTTTTCCATTTCTTTGTGTCTTCCTCAGTTTCTCTCATGAGTGTTCTATAGTTTTCAGAGTACAGATACTTTGCCTCTTTGGTTAGGTTGATTCCTAGGTATCTTAGGTTTTTGGTGCAGTTTTAAATTAGTTGGACTCCTTAATTTTTCTTTCTTCTGTCTCATTGTTAGTGTATAAAAATGCAACTGATTTCTGTGCATTAATTTTTATATCCTGCCGCTTTGCTGAATTCCTGTATGAGTTTTAGCAATTTTGGGGTGGAGTCTTTGGGTTCTCCACATAGAGTATTACATCACCTGCGAAGAGTGAGAGTTTGACTTCTTCTTTGCCGTTTCCGATGCCTTTTATTTCTTTTTATTGTCTGATTGTTGAGGCTAGGACTTCTAGTACTATGTTGGACAACAGTGGTGAGAGTGGACATCCCTGCTGTGTTCCTGACCTTAGGGGAAAAGCTCACAGTTTCTCCCCATTGACAAAGATATTTGCCGTGGGCTTTTCATAGATGGCTTTTATGGTATTGAGGTATGTGCCCTCTATCCCTGCACCGTGAAGAGTTTTAATTAAGAAAGCATGCTGTACTTTGTCAAATGATTTTTCTGCATTTATAGAGGGGATCATATGGTTCTTGTCCTTTCTTTTATTAAAGTAGTGTATCACACTGATTATTGATTTGCAGATGTTGAACCACCTTTGCAACCCAGGAATAAGTCCCACTTGGTTGTGGTGAATAATCCTCTTAATGTACTGTTGCCTCCTATTGGCGAGTATCTTGATGAGAATTTTTGCATCCGTGTTCATCAGGGATATTGGTCTGTAATTCTCCTTTTTGGTGAGGTCTTTGGTTTGGGGATCAAGGTAATGCTGGCGTCATAGAAAGAGTTTGGAAGTTTTCCTTCCATTTCTATTTTTTGAAACAGCTTCAGAAGAATAGCCATTAATTCCTCTTTAAGTGTTTGTTAGAACTCCCCAGGGAAGCCATCCGGCCCTGGAGTTTTGTTTGTTCGAAGATTTTTGATTACTGCTTCAATTTCCTTGCTGGTTGTGGGTCTGTTCGGGTTTTCTCTTTCTTCCTGTTTCAGTTTTGGTAGTTTCTACCTCTCTAGGAATTCATCCATTTCTTCCAGATTGCCTAGTTGGTTGGCATATCGTCGTTCCTAATATGTTCTTAAAATTGTTTGTATTTCCTTGGTGTTGGTTGTGATCTCTCCTCTGTCAATTCATGATTTTATTTATTTGTATCCTTTCTTTTCTTTTTGCTACGTCTGGCCAGGGGTTTATCGATCCTATTAATTCTTTCAAGGAAGCAGCTCCTAGTTTCGTTGCTGTGTTCTACTGTTCTTTTGGTTTCTATTTCATTGATTTCTGCTCTGATCGTTATTAATTCTCTTCTGCTGGGTTTTGGCTTTATTTGCTGTTCTTTCTCCAGCTCCTTTAGGTGTAAGGTTAGGTTGTGTATGTAGGACCTTTCTTGTTTCTTGAGAAAGGCTGTTGTCGCTCTGTACTTCCCTCCCCGAACTGCCTTTGCTGCATCCCAAAGTTTTGGAACAGTTGTGTTTTCATTTTCCTTTCTTTCCATGAATTCTTTTAGTTCTTCTTTAATTTCCTGTTTGACCCATTCATTCTTTAATAGGATGCTCTTTAACTTCCATGTATTTGAGTTCTTTCCGAATTTCCTCTTGTGATTGAGTTCAAGTTTCAAGGAATTGTGGTCTGAACCTATGCAGGGAATGATCCCATACTTTTGGTACCGGTTGAGACCTGATTTGTGACCCAGTATGTGATCTCTTCTGGAGAAAGTTCCATGTGCGCTCCAGAAGAATGTGTATTCTGTGGCTTTAGGTTGGAATGCTCTGAATGTATCTGTGAAGTCCATCTGGTCCAGTGTCAACCTCGGAGAGTCATGGATGTGGGGTGGCGAAGGAACTGAGGAAAAGAGATGACAGTAGAGTGAGGCAGAGGGGACCCCGAGCAAGCAGACCAAGGTTCCGAGGTTTATTTTCCATAATCTTATATACCTTCTACAGCGATATAGAGATATAATGATTTACAGCAGGGGCTTAGTAAGGCACATTCTTCCATGTACACAGGATTAGTCCCGCGTGTATGATAAGAATCTTTAAAGCAGGACAAGGGAACAAAGAGGGGAGTGCACAGTGTGCTATTTACACGGCCAGGGAACAAAGAGGAGACTGCACAGTGTGCTATTTACAGGGCCAGGGAACCAAGAGGGGAGTGCACAGTGTGCTGTTTATAGGTGGCTTCCTATCTACAAAACATCTTCTGCTGCATACTTTAGAACAGACCGCACATATCCCAAGGGCATTTCACTCTGATCCTTTTGGCTTATTTTTAACCATGGAATCTTGAGATTTCTCAGAGATCTTGGAGTCTGAACGAACATGCACCAGTGGTTGTTGTGGCGTTCTGTTTCCCACAGTCCAGTGTGTCATTCACTGTTATTACTGTATCATCATCGTGTTTCTTTAATTTGTTATTAATTGGTTTATGTCATGGGCTGCTCCCATGTTAGGGGCACACATATTTACAATTGTTAGATCTTCTTGTTGGATAGACCCCTTTAAGTCATTATGATAGTGTCCTTCCTCATCTCTTATTACAGTCTTTGGTCTAAAATCTAATTTGTCTGGTACAAGGATTGCTACCCCAGCTTTCTTTTGATGTCCATTAGCGTGATAAATAGTTTTCCACTCCCTCACTTTCAATCTGGCGGTGTCCTTGGGTCTAAAATGAGTCTCTTGCAGACAGCATATCGATGGGTCTTGCTTTTTTATCCAATCTGATACCCTGCGTCTTTTGATTGGGACATTTGGCCCATTTACATTCAGACTAACTATTGAAAGATATGAATTTAGTGCCATTGTAATACCTGTAACGTCACTGTTTCTGTATATTGTCTCTGTTCCTCTCTGATCTGTGTTACTTTGGGGCTCTCTCTTTGCATAAAGGATCCCCTTTAATATTTCTTGCAGGGCTGGGTTAGTGATCACAAATGTTTTAGTTTCTGTTTGTCCTGGAAACTCTTTCTCTCTCCTTCAAGTTTGAATGACAGCCTTGCTGGATAAATGAGGTATTTTTGTCTGCATATTTTTCTCGTTTAGCACCCTGAATATATCATGCCAGTCCTTTCTGGCCTGCCAGGTCTCTGTGGTTACTGCCACTCTAATGTTTCTACCATTGTCGGTTAAGGACCTCTTGTGCTGAGCTGCTTTCAGGATTTTCTGTTTGACTCTGAAATTTGCAGCCCTCACTACTATTATGTCAAGATGTGGACCTGTTTTTATTGATGTTGAAGGGGGTTTTCTGTGCCTCCTGGATTTGAATGCCTGTTTCCTTCCCCTGATTAGGGAGGTTCTCCACTATATCCTCTCAAATATACCTTCTGCCACCCCCGCTTCCTCGTCTTCTGGGATCCCAATTATTCTACTATTGTTTTGCTTTATGGTATCACTTGTGTCTTGAAATTTCACCTCGTGATCCAGTCGTTTATCTCTCTTTTTCCCCAGCTTCTTTATTCTCCGTCATTTTGTCTTCTGTATCACTACTTCTCATTTCTGCCTCTTTTATCCTAGCAGTTAGAGCCTCTATTTTTTTTAGAGCCTCTATATTTGATTGCATCTCATTAATAGCCTTTTTGATATCTACTTGATTACATTTTAGTTCTTTTATTTCTTCAGAAAGGGATTCTCTAGTGTCTTCTATACTTTTTTCAAGCCCAGCTAGTATCTTTATCATCGTTATTCTGAACTCTAGTTCTGACCTCTTATATTCATACAAATTAGGTCCTTAGCAGTCATTACTGCCTCTAGTTCTCTTATTTGAGCTGAGTTTATATGTCTTGTCATTTTGTCCAGAGGTAGATGAATGAGTGAACAAAATACTAAAAGAGCAACAACAACCCCAGTGAAATATACACTAAACAAATTAGAGGAGACCCAGAACCAAAAGAAAAAAGAATATAATCAGGTGAACAGAACAGAGAAATACACTGGATCCTGTGTGTATTTGGGTCTGTTTTTTAGAAAACTACATCCCAAAATTGTAAAGAAAGAAAAACTTATATATATATATATATATATACAAAAATAAAATTAAATACAATGAAAGGATAGAATGTAAGTGTAAAAATGAAAGTTAAAAAAGACTTGCAGAAAGTGGTTGCTTTTCTTTTTTTTTTATTACTAACATACAGTGTATTATTTGTTTCAGGGGTACAGATCTGTGATTCATCAGTCTTACATAATACACAGTGGTCACCACAACACATACCCTCCCCAAACGTGGTCGCTTTTCTATTTGTAGAATTGCGGCAATTCTTTTCTTAGATCTCCAGTTGAGTTCACAGGTGTTCAAAATCATTTTATACCTATCGAGTGAGTTCCAGACCACACAAAACTAAGCTCTCCTACTCCTTCACCATCGTTTTTGATTCAACTTGCTTATATTTTCTTTCTGCATTTTTTAATTATAAAATATACAGAGAAAAATATATGTCTGACTTAAAGAAGAATAAAATTAGCAATCATGCTTTTACCACTCAGATTAAAAAAAAATAAAAAGAGTTTTTTCCAATGTCTGTTGCTCCCGAAGGGCTCCCTTTCTGTTTTTTTGCTGAGTACTTAAATTTGTTCTCTGATACTCTCTCATTTAACTGTCTTTCTCTGCATTGTTTTGCAACCCTTTCACTTTGTTAACAGTGTCCTAGCCAAGATATGTGACTTCTTTCCTGAAACAGTCTCATAGACCATCACACATTATCTCTTTGCTGATTTCCTTTCTTCTAAAGCTTTGTCTCTTCATTTTTCCTCTCAACTCAGACTTTAAAGATTTTTCTTTCTTGTTTTTATGTGAGTGATCTCCTTTGATGTTTTTTGTATGTATTTTCTTTTCTTCTTGTAGACTGTGGTTAGTGGGTACCAAAATGTATTTTTGTGTCTTTTTAAAACATTCATGGATAAGTATGCTTTTCTTCTTCACCTTGGATACTGGTCTCTGGTTTATAGTCACTATTTAATAATAGATGATTCTATTAAGATACTGAAAATAAATATTAATAACTTATGTATAAGAACTCTTAATATAGTTACAGTATTAATTCTGCCAGTTGTGTCACAAAAATTTTCTTCATATTTTTTACCTGAGATTATAATTTAGTTAGTATGTTCTTAAACAATGTGAGATTGGGACAAATGAGAGATCATAATTTATAGATTTGTTTATATGATAGAACATATTATCTATTTAAACAATTATTAAATATTTACTCTTAAAAAAACCTGACTTACTCATTCTATACCTTCCGCAGATTTAAGAAACTCTTAAACGTGACAAGGAGAAAGTTAAGTGAATATGAAGATGGGGAGCTTACTTTCCCTGGAAATTCAAAAGCCAATCAAATTGAAATGGATAGTCAGATTGATATGCTAAAACAGAAGGTAATTTTTAATTAGTTTTGGGACTCCAAAATCATTTAATTTTGGGAAATAAGTCACTCAGTGCTTTGAGCAATGAAATGTTTTCTATTAATTTTATATACGTGCTACATTTTTTTTTTTTTGGTAACAGCTTTATTGAGATAAAATGAACGTAATATGCATATTCAAAGAGTACCACAATCAATTTTAGAACATTTTTGTCACCCTGTAAAGAAGCCCTGTACCTTTTACCTGTCACCCTATGCTAGGTTCCCCTTTCCTACTCTCCTTAGCCCTAGGGAACCATTACTTACTCTCTGTCTCTATAAATTTGCCTATTTTGGACATTTCATATCAATGGAATCACACAATATGTGTCCTTTGGGACTGCCTTCTTTCATTTAGTATAGTATTTTCAAGTTATACCTATTTTGTAGCACGTGTCAGTACTTTATTTCTTTTTATTGCTGAATAATATCCCAGTATAGGGACATACCACATTTTATTTATTCATTTATCAGTTGGTAGACCTTTAGATTGTTTTGCTTTTTGTTAATAATGCTATTGTACACACACATGTACAAGTTTTTGTGTGAATATGTTTTCATTTCTCTTGGGTATATACTTAAAAATGGAATTGCTGGGTCATATGGTAACTCTCTTTAACCTTTTCTTTTTTTTTTTTTTAACCCTTTGAGGAACTGCCACACTGTTTTTGCAGCATGGCTGCACCATTTTACATTTTCATCAGCAGTGTTCGAAGGTTCTCATTTTTCGTGATTTTTGCCAGTGTTTGTCATTATCTGTTGTTTTTATTATAGCCATCCTAGTGGGTGGGAAATGGCATCTTGTGGGGTTTTTTGTTTGTTTGAAGTTTTAAAATTCTAGTTAGTTAACATATTGGTTTCAGGAGTAGACTTTAGTGATTCATCACTTACATACAACACCCAGCGCTCATCACAACAAGTACATCATTCATCTAGCCCACCCCCCATCCACCTCCACTACAGCAACACTTAGTTTTTTCTCTATAGTTAAGAGTCTTTTATGGTTTGCCTCCCTTTCTCTTATTTTCTTCCCCCTTTCCCCTGTGTTCATCTGTTTTGTTTTTTAAATTCCACATATGAGTAAAATCATAGGGTATTTGTTTTTCTCTGACTGACTTGTTTGGCTTAGCATAATACACTTGATGAGTTCCATCAATCTTGTGGCTTTGATTTGCATTTTTCTTAAAGCTAATGATGTTGAGGGACACCTGGATGGCTCAATTAATTAAGGTCTGCCTTCCGCTCAGGTCATGACCCCAGGATCCTGGGATTGAGCCCCACATCTGGCTCCCTGCTCAGCAGGGAGCCTGCTTCTCCCTCTCCCTCTGCAGCTCCCACTGCTTGTTCTCTCTCTCTCTATATCAAAGAAAGAAATAAAACGTTAGAAAAAAAAACTAAACAAAAACTAATGATGTTGAGTATCTCATCTTTTTATGTGGTTATTATCCATTTCTATATCTTCCTTAACGAATGAATCAGTTCTTTTGACCATTTCTTTATTGGATTGTCTTTTCATTATTTTAAGAGTTATTTATATATATCCTAAATACAAATCCCTTATCAGATATAGGCTTTTTAAATATTTTCTCTTAGTAGCTTGCTTTTTCACTTTCTTGATGGTGACATTTGAAGCAAAGAAGGTTTTGATTTTGATGAAATATACTTAATCTGTTTTTATCTTCTGCTGTCCTAAGAAACCATTGCCAAATCCAGTCACAAATGATATGTTTTTTTCTAAGAGTTTTATAATTTTAGCTCTCATATTTGGAGTTGATTTTGTATATATGCTATGAGGTAGAGGTCTAATTTTATTACTTTGTCCCACTACCATTTGTTAAAAAGACTATTCTTATTCCATTTAATTGACACCCTTGTTGAAAATCAATTCACCATAATGTGACAGTTTATTTTTAGATTGTCAGTTCTAATACATTTATCTATATGACTATCCTTATGTCACTGCCCAATCAAATTTTATGAGAATTCTTCCCTAGTCGTCTTGCAAATTTACCACTCACTTCTGTACTAATAAAAGTGTAGTAGAACTTAACTTTACTCCTGTAGAAATTTTTTGCTTCTTGAAGGAGGCTTTTACCAGCTTATCCCTTGCTGACTCCATGATGTGATGAGAAGTCCGACTCAAAAAGATAGAGTCCTGTTTCTTTTCTCCATTCATATCTTGAGTCACTCACTCAGTGCCTCCCATATCCATTTCCATCAAATCTTGGTCATAGGATCTGCTGTCTACTCGTTACTTCATTATGTTTTATTAACTTAATATAAAGCATAGACTTATCCATAAATTTCACCATCCAGGAAAGAAAAGATGAACTCTGGGCTGTCAGCTTTCCTGTTTTGAAATCTTGGTAATCCATCATCTTGTAATTCACAATTAGATACTATTTTGACCTGGTTCTTCTGTATAACACAGGTGGTGATCCTCTTCTTGGCACAGATCCTACATTCTCAGAATACAGTTGTCTGTATCCATCTTTTTTACTTTAAATAGAAAGGTATGTTCTTTAATAGCTCAATAAATAATTAATGGAATAAATATTTCATTACATTATTTCAAGAATACAGCTATAGAAATATCAGGTAGTATTTAATTGAGTTATCGCAGACAAATAGTAGATTAGCAATTTGAATGCCATAAATTTTCAAAGCCAGTTTGTATGGTATGGGAAAGCAGTGTGATACAACATAAAGATGAGATGGTTTTACTTACCTCCCCACATAAACAAGCTTGGAGTAAGATAAAGGAGAAATTATATTTAATTAATTATTTTTTTAAAGATTTTATTTATTTATCTGACAGAGAGACAGCGAGAGAGGGAACACAAGCAGGGGGAGTGGGAGAGGGAGAAGCAGGCTTCCCGTGGAGCAGGAAAGCTGATGCGGGCTCCATCCCAGGATGCTGGTATTATAACCTGAGCTGAAGGCACATGCTTGATGGCTGAGCCACCCAGGCACCACCTATATTTAATTTAAATAGTGCCTATGGACAGTACATTTGGTTTGCTACTGAAAAGATTAAAAATGATTCCATAATGTTCTCTTTATTTCCTCATTGAGGAAAGGAGATTGAAGATTGAGTATTAGATTGATTAAAAAATACCCAAAGCTGGCTGTCTCTTTTAGAATTTCAGTTAATGGAGATCAGGTAAAAGGTCCAATTTTAGTTATTAAACTATTCCTAGTTTTCCAGCTGTTATCCTTCCAGTCATATTGTCTTTCTGCTTGCCGGTCTTTCTTCTCCCCTAACTTGAGGGGAAAATCTATAGAGGCATTCTTGCCTAACTTGTAATAATTTGTAATTGAAGCGTATCTTAGAAAAATGTCTTAAGAGAAAGGAAGATGGAAGCAGAGTAAGAGGAGCCTAGGTTCACCTAATACCTGAAGACTGACAGAACAAACTCCACAACTAAAGAGAGGGAAGAGGACACATCGAAGAGGGTAGAAGTACAGAGATGTGGTTTAGAAGAGAAACAGATTGTGGCTGCTATAGAGGGAGAGATTCGTGGTCATAGAGAAGGGCAGGCGAGGCGTACATGGAAATGCACAAAGATAACGTTTCTTCATACCCACTGGCTTGGAGGATGAGAGGGGCTGAATTTCATGAGTTCTTACAACGAGGGGGGCTTAAAGCCTGGAGTTCTAAAGGTCATCAGGCTTAGCTGGGATAGAGCCTGTAGGGGACTGTGCTGCTCTTGGAGAGAAGGCAAGTAAACAACCCGGGAGCATACAGCACGGAAACAGTGATCTGAACAGTGCCTGGGGCATACAGTGGGGAGATTACTCACTCTTCTCAGAGCATGTCCCTGAGAGGCAGTGTTCACGGAAATACTTCTCTAGGAACAAAGGAACCGGCTGGTACCATTTCCCTCCACTGCCCCTCAGCAGAAACAGAGCCTCTTGTGGGAAGTGGTGCAGCTCTGACACTGGCTGCCTAATTTGCTTACATCAAACCATCCCCTTGCACTCCAGTGGAACTGCCCTGATCAATCATTCTTGCCTCAGTTTCAGCACAGCAGGCCTTCCCCCCCACACCCCCAGAAGACCCCTGCCCACACTATGTCTCCTGAACAGATTCAGGAGGGCCACAGTTCCAGTGGAAGTGGTGACAGGTCTCATTTCACAAGCACACCAGAGCACACCGAATTTAAAAGTTGCTACATTCCAGCAGGTACCAAACACTGCCCACAGCAGGTGGGGAGAGCCTCTGCAGATGACTGGCCTAAAGGATAGAGCAGCCAGAACACAACAGCAGAGTACATGCAGCACACACTGCTGACACTACCCTAAGTGCCAGACCCTGGGCACTACATGACGTCTTTTTCATAAGTCCATTACTTTCAGGAGCAGGTGACATAACTGGCTTTTCTAACACAAAGAAGCTGGTAGAGACGTAGACAAAATGAGAAAAGAGGAATTTATCTGAAAAGAAAGAACAGGATAAGGCCATGGGGCCAGAGATTTAAGTGAGACCGATATAAATATCATGCCTGATTGAGGATTTAAAGCAGTGATCATAAGGATACTCACTGGAGTTGAGAAAAGAATGAGAGACATCAGTGAGACCCTTACAACAGAGATAAAAGAATTAAAAAAGAATCAGAGATGAAGAGTGCAATAAATGAGATTAGAAACATACCTGATGCAATGAACAGCAGGCTGGAAGAAGCAGAAGAACAAATTAATGATCTAGAAGACAAAGTAATGGAAAGCAATAAAGCTGAAGAAGGGAGAGAAAGAAGAATTATGCAAAATGAGACAAGACCTCGGGAACTCAGTGACTCCATCAAAAGTAATAACATTTGTAGTGTAGGAGTCCCACTAGAAGAGAGAGAAAAGGGGTAAGAAAATTTATTTCAAGAAATAAGAACAGAAAACTTCCCTACTCTGGGGAAAGCAACAGACATCAAGATGTAGGAGGCAGAGAAAACTCCCATCAAAATCAGCAAAAGCAGGCTAACACGAAGATACAGTATAATTAAATTTGCAAAATATACTGATAAAGAAAACATCTTAAAAGCAGGAAAACAAGTCAGTAACTTACAGGGGAAACCCCTTAAGGCTATCAGGAATATTTGCAACAGAAACTTTGCAAGCCAGATGGGAGTGGCATGATATTATTCAACATGGTGAATGGGAAAATCTGTAACCAAGAATACTCTATCCAGCAAGCCTATTACTCTGAATAGAAGGAGAGAGAGAGTTTCCCAGACAAAAATTAAAGACTCTCTTTGTGGCCTGAGCTTCCTCATAAGTTGGAGGGTGAAATTCCAAGTAAGCAGCCTTAAATACAGAGCAAGGCAGAAGCTCTATTGCCTCTGTAACCTAGCCTTGGAATATACACAGCATCACATTCACCATATTCTGTTTGTTAGGAGATAAGTCACTAAGATTGGCCCACGGTCTTTTTATTTATTTATTTTTAATAGAATGAATATTTAAAAACCTATGGACACATTTAAAAACCAGCATATTTTTGTATTCCTCCAACATGAAAAATACACTCACCTCCTGCCAGTACCTCCCACAAATCTCAGTTATCATGGCATTAGGTTCAGGCTTGAATCCAAGATCTTACCATTTTAATCAGGAGCAGTGGGGATAAGGTGTCTGAAGTATTGTCCCTTGAGTTCAAATCCTCTCAATATGAAGACTTGGGAATTTAAGTGACAGTTCTCTACCACTCAAAATGCAGGATGCTGGTAACCTGCTAAGGACTCTCCCGTTTAGAAAGAAGATGGGAAGCACGCTAGTCCATAGCAGTTTTGAAATATAGCCTGAAGCATGCTGTCAGTTCTTTAGTTAGGACTTAGTCCTAACCATGGGAATACTTCTCCATGGCTCTTTGCTTTACTCTTTGAGCTCTTGGTTCTGTCCTTTTCATAAGGAATGACCTGTGTTTTTAGCTGTTTTTTCAGCCTGCTTCCTCCCTGTGGGACTTCTAAGACCCAAAGGCCTATTTTCAGCTTGTACTATCTTGGTCTCTATTAGTCCAAGCTCGCAAACAGTGTTTTTGCTCCTCTAATTCTCTTCACTTTTTTTTTTTTTTTTTGAAGATTTTATTTATTTGACAGAGAGATAGAGAGCACAAGTAGGCAGAGAGGCACACAGAGGGAGAGGGAGAAGCAGGCTCCCTGCGGAGCAGGGAGCCCGATGTGGAACTCGATCCCAGGACCCTGGGATCTTGACCTGAGCTGAAGACAGCCACTTAACTGACTGAGCTACCCAGGTGCCCCTATAATTCTCTTCACTTTTTGAGTTTTCTGTGAATATTATTGGAGTTCATGCCATTAGAAAAGCCATTCTCCTGGGTCTTTTTGAGATAAGCTTTTCACCTCAGGTTACCTGTAAACCTCTTATTTGACAATGCCTTTAAAGTTCTTATACACTTAAGATCCTTAAAGAAATTGGAGGCACACCTTGAATCCTTCCGAGGTCTTAATAAAGGGTTTTATAGTCTTGGCTTCATCCATAGAGCATGTTTTCCTCGATTTACTCTTAACCCAGAAGCCATTTATTTTAGCATTATTTGACAATTCAGCATGTGGAGAGGCTGTAAATGAGAAACAGATATTTGAACCCAGTAAATCCCGGTTCCATCATATTGAATAATGTTTCTTTAGCTTATCTCCCCTATGAGTTCCCTTTCAAGTGGTTTGTGGCATGAGTTCCTTTCCCTCTAGTGTCATTTTCTTCACTTGTCTAGAAACCTTTGCTGTAAACCTCTTCAAGGGCCATCAGGTTTCCACTAACAGTTTCTTGGAAGCCCTTTTGGTTTTCATTCTTACTCTTCTCTACATCCTTTCAGGTTCCACCTACCTCCTGGTTCAAAGGAGGTTTATTTTTAGTTTGTTTTGTTTTTAATGGCAGCACCCCATTTTTAATATCAGTATCTGTGCCAGTTATTTATTGCTGCATACTCAACCATCTCAAAACCCAGTGGCTCAAAACAGCATTTATCTTGTTCACACATCTTTAGACAAGGCTGAGTAAGGCCAACTCATTTCTTCTTCATTTGGCATCACCTGGGATGACTGGAAGCTGGGAACTAGAATCATCTAAAACTTTGTTCTTGTTCATGCACATATTTGGCTGTTGAGGCTGCCTTTTGACTAGGATGTTAGCTGGGGCAGTCTCAGCTGCAGTATCTGCATGAAGACTCACTAGGTGGCCTGGGCTTTCCCACAACAGCTGGATGCTAAGGGTGAGCTTCCGTAGAAAAAGTTAGATGGAGGCTATCTCACATTTTGTAACCTAGCCTTAAAAATCACACAGCAGTTCTGCCATATTCTATTCACTAGAAACCAGTTACTAAGGCCAGCACATATTAAGGGGGAGGGCGGATTGTCATGGGAGAAGTGTCAAAGAATTTATAAAACCACCACATCCATTCACCTTGTCTTACCAATCATATCTAAAGGAAAGAAGTTCTTCCCAATTCAGCATCACTAAAACTCCATAAGTTTTTTGGTTTTTGTCTTATTTTGTGGGATGTAAGAAAGGATTATAATACTCTTGAATTAAGGTTTTTTGTTTTGTTTTGTTTTGGTCCAAAAATGTATGGATCATCTCACTAAATTTTTTTACTAAGAGATGCGATTTCTCAACCTTGGAAATCATTTCTTCTCAGAATGCAATTCAGATTAGCATAAAACATTTGTAATTCAGAAAAAGGCTTATGGCATTAAAATCAGTCTTCATAGATTCATTAATTAGAGTTTTATTTTCAAAGTCTTATTTTGGTAAGCATTTATTTGCTCAGACCTACATAAGTCAATATGATATTCCTAAAACTTCTATAAAAATTATGGAGTACCAGGGCACCTGGGTGGCACAGTCAGTTAAGTGTCTGCCTTTGGCTCGGGTCGTGATCCTGGCATGCTGGGATTGAGCCCCACGCTGGGCTCCGTGCTCAGTGGGGAGTCTGCTTTTCCCTCCCCCTGCTCTTTCACTCTTGATCTCTTGCTCTCTCTCCCTCTCAAATAAATAAATAAAATCTTTTAAAAACTTTTGGAGTGTTAAGATGAGGGGGAAGGGTTAAGGGACTTTCTACTAAGAGATGACTTACAGTTAGTTTATGGAGTAAAGATCTGAAACAATCATAGAAAAATGAAAGTATAAATGTGTGGTAAAGAGAATGATAGCAGAGATCTCTTTTAGTAACTACTAGTGGTTTTAATTTTGTTCTTGAATTTCTGAGTTATTTGAGGTTCCACATTCCAAGACTCTACTTACAACATAGATAACATTTTGTTGAAAATGAATTTATTTTAAAATTTGAGCACCTGGCTGGCTCTGTCAGTAGAGCGTGTGACTCTTGATCTTGGGGGTTGTGAGTTCGAGCCCCGTGTTTGGTGTAGAGACTTAAAAATAAAATCTTTAAAAAAAATTTTGGTCATAGTTTTGCATTAGACTATTTTCACTCTACTTCCAAACTGTATTATTTTATTCATGCAGGTTGATGATCTTACAGCAAAACTGGAAACTGCGTCTTCAAAATGTCTATACCTGGATGCAAACAACCAGCTTCTTACCCAGGAGTTAACATCTATGAAGGAAATGCAGAAGAAATACGAAAAACTAAAGAAGAATAAAAAGAAGTTGGAACAACAAGTAGAAAACCTCAGAAGTCATGCAGAATTCAGTATGGTAGAATACAGTAAAATAGAACACTATAAACGGGAGCTTGAAGAAAGAACAAGATTGGACATAACAGAAAAATTAAAAGAAGCCAATCTATTTTTCCAGGTTAATTTATTGATCTGTATTATGCTTTAATCATTTCACTACAAGTTACATTTTGGTTATATGCGTTGTATAGTTTTCCTCTACTTCCTTTATAGCAATTTGGTAAATTTCTGGAAGCATTTGTTCCTTCTCTTTAAAAATTTCAGTTTTCATCATTATTCTCAGTAAATTGATTTTTCAGAATGATTCACAGTAGAGAATCATTTTATTTTTTAAGATCAGTTGGTATAAGAGAAGACTATTGACTGGAAAAGAAAAAATGGTGTTTTAAAAATTTTAACCCTGGGGTGTCTAGGTGGCTCAGTTGGTTGAGCAGCTCAGGCTCATGAAATCAAGCCCAGCATGGAGCCTACTTAAAAATAAAGAAAAAATTGTACCATACTTGGATTATTTTTTTTAAAGATGTTTATTTATTTATTTATTTAGAACGCACGGGTGAGGGAATGCACAGAGGGAGAGAGAGAATCCCAGGCAGACTCCATGCTGAGTATGACACAGGGCTTTATCTCATGACCCTGAGATCACGATTGAACAGAAACCAGGAGTCGGGCGCTTAATCAACTAAGCCATCCAGGCACCCCCTGTACTTGGATTATTCTTAAGTTGTATTGTTCACTTTTTTAAAGTTGTAAATGATTCTATTTTTCTCTGAATTACCAGATTGCATGAGTTCTAATATAAGAATGATTGAACTTTATCATTCAGATTTAATTCAGTTGACATTGATGATAAATATTTTACGCTTCAGCTTTTTCACATTTACAATTGCTCTCTGAATCAATGACTCAAAACTAAAGGAAAGAAATATACTATAATTACCCAGATTACAACATTTTAAAAGTATGCTTTTAATTTGCTTTAGACACAAGTAGCATCTCAAGAACGCTTAGGACAGTTAAGAGAAACTAATAATGCTTCAATAAGAAATCAAATGGAACTCAGAATTAAAGAACTGGAATTTGAATTATCCAGAATGAAAAGTTCTCAAGAAGATTTTAATAAAACAGAATTGGAAAAATACAAGCAACTCTACCTAGAAGAATTAAAAGTTCGAATGTCATTGACAAATGAACTGAACAAGTAAGTTAAAACAGAATCACAGAAAATAGATTTAGCTTGTTAATTTGCCTCTAAAGTGTAATTTTTATGGAGCCAGGTTCATGAGATGAGTAGTAAGTGAAAGCCAACTAGATAGTTTCATTTTGGAAAATGATGTTTGTAAAAGAACTTACCTTTGAAATGTACATCCAAGACAGTTTGCATCTCTCCTCCTTCTTTTGGTTTTACGTGATTTTATTTTTTTCCCCTTAATATTTTCAGTTAATCTGATCTCCTAGTCTTTAAGCTAATTTTTAGAAGCTTTATAATTTAGACAGCATGTTATTATAAAATTGTTTGTCAGAATTGCCCTATATAGAAATGAGTTTATTAATATTAGTAAGTTTATTTTTGGAAGAGTACATCTTTAACCCAAACTGCACATCCTGGCAGCTTGGTAAATTTACTTTTTTGATTGTGATTTTTGTGATTACCAAATAGAGGGTGCTTTGAACAAACTGTTCTTTATAGTTTTTCTACCTTACATAAAGGTATACATGTGAAATACAAAAAGATTCCCCTAGGGGCCGAAAGGCAGTATAATTCCCAAAGTGGCTAAAAATAGCACCATGGTGGACATAACGAGGGGCTGGGTGAAAGACAGAAAGGGTAGATTCCACCTCCAGTACCCTGGTAGCTGTGTTATAACCTAATTGGCTCTGGAGCTGTTTTATTTCTTTCTGATCACAACTCTGCCATCTAGCAATTGTTGGTCCAAATTATTCCTCAGTGCCAAATGCTCAATTTCTCTGAGGTAATGAGTGAAATGTGCAAGAGTGGTGAAAGCCAATGCTTGAAAATGTCTTTGAGGGATGGTTTATTTTTATTTTTATTGAAAGATTTTATGTATTTATTTGACAGAGAGCGAGCGAGTGAGCTCAAGCAGGGGGAGCGGCAGGCAGAGGTTGAGGGAAAAGCAGGGGCTCGATTCCAGGACTCTGGGGTCATGACCTGAGCCGAAGGCAGATGGTTAACTGACTGAGCACCCAGCCCCCCAGGATGGTTTTATATTTTTATATCTCTAAACTGGTTTACTAAATAGAAGTATATGTAATGGCATCCTGGTTTACTAAATATAAGTATGTGTAATGGCATCCTCAAGAATCTTGTAAGTCCAGCCATTCCAGAAGGCAGCAGGTATTACCTGTTAAGCCATGTGCATCACTAATAGCCATTTCTGTCCCTCCTTAATTTGAATTACTTGTTAGTTAGGAATCCTCTAGAAATATATGTCCTTTAGAGCAATTTTAAACCTATCATTATATATTGTAGGTCTGCTCTGTCACATTTTCAGTGTTAAAACACTGTTTAATGGCACATTCTGTTTACTATTATGGAAACTTTAAAAAAATGCAAGTCACTTAGGAATGATTTGGGGAGAAATGAAATACTAAGCATTGTGTTTTGTAATCTTAACAGGACTAATGAAAAGCTGGCAGAGACCAGTACCAAACTTCTGGTGGAGACACAGCAAAAAAAGTCTTTGATTAATACTATTACTATGAGACCTGTCCTAGAATTGCCTTCTGTTAGAAATATGAATAATAGTTCACTGTTCAATAGATATGTTGCTCCGAGAGAAAACCTAGTGATTCCTACCTCAAGCTCATGGCCTACAAAGAATGGCATTGAGACTTTCTTGACCAAGGTTAGTTATCTTTTTTCCCTTGGGTTTCAGATTTCTGATATAATTTTTGTTTTTAATTTGGTGAAATTCTGAGTTGTTTAACTAACACATACTAAGTAAAAGTCATAATTATATGCACTAATAAAGAAATGAGACAGAAATTTTATGACTATTTTTAGTTCCTGGAGCTCTTACTTTCAAGAGATACCTATTATTAACTTTATTTAATAAATATAACTAAACTGACATTTTACTATTTTTTAAAGATTTTATTTATTTCATTTTATTTTTTTGAAGATTTTATTTATTTATTTGACAGAGACACAATGAGAGAGGGAACACAAGCAGGGGGAGTGGGAGAGGGAGAAGCAGGCTTCCCGCGGAGCAGGGAGCCCGATGCGGGGCTCAATCCCAAGACCCTGAGATCATGACTTGAGCAGAAGGCAGACGCTTAGCAAATGAGCCATCCAGGCGCCCCTATAGATTTTATTATTTTAGAGAGAGAGAGTGCACAAGAGGGAGAGAGAGCATAAGAATTTCAAGCAGACTCCCCACTGAGCGTGGAACCCTACGTAGGGCCCAGTCTCATGACCTATTTTCTTACTTGAGAGTACATTCTTAATTGCTTTCTTACTTATAGCATTTTTTTTTTTACTTATACCACTACTATTTCAAGTTTTACAAAATGTCTTGTTGAGCAGTTGTAGAGCATTTTCTAAATAGCTAAATCAAGCAAATACTTGATTTTTATTTTTTTTTTTTCGAGAGGGAGTGCAAGCAGGGGTGAGGAGCAGAGGGTAAGCAGGCTCCATGCTCAGTGCAGAGCCCGATGTAGGACTCAGTCTCACAACCCTGAGATCATGACTTGAGCCAAAATCAAGATCAGACACTTAACTGTGACTGAGCCACTCAGATGCCCCACAATTTGAATTTTTATAAAGAAGTTCACATATATCTACCTGGCCATCACTTGAATGACTGATGACTAAGATGGGAATGATAGGGAGTCTTTAAATAGCAGCTAGTTTCCTTTGTGTATCATTGTTATTAAAATATCCATTTCGGGTTGCCTGGGTGGCTCAGTCATTCAGCATCTGCCTTTGGTTTGGGTCATGATCCCAGGGTCCTGGGATTGAGCCCCGCATCAGGCTCCCTGCTCTGCGGGAGGCTTGCTTCTCCCTCTCCCACTCACCCTGCTTGTGTTCCCGCTCTCAATGTGTCTCTCTCTGTCAAATAAATAAAATCTTTAAAAATAAAAAAATAAAAAATAAATAAAATAAAATATCCATTTCAATGAATGCACATATGTTTATCTTTTTTTTTTTTTAAGATTTTATTTATTCATTCATGAGAGACAGAGAGAGAGAGTGAGAGAGGCAGAGGGAGAAGCAGGCTCCCAAGGAGCAGGGAGCCTGATGTGGGACTCGATCCCTGGACCCTGGGATCATGACCTGAGCTGAGGCAGACGCTTAACCATCTGAGCCACCCAGGTGCCCAAGGTTTATGGCTTTGATGGTATATTCATGTTCTTATTAATGTAGACAAAAGTAGCATAGGCTCGTGGTAAATGAGGCCTCAGTCTTGTTCCTTCATTCAGCATCCTTATTGTCTTGCTCTCTTCCCTTCTAATTTGAGGACTTTCTTTAGTGTTATGCTTGGATGCCTTTAGATTTTTGGTTTGTGATCACCATGAAGTTCATATATAACATCCTATGTATATAGCAGTCTATTTTAAGTTGATGGTTACTTAAGTTCAAACACATTTTAAAAACACTACATTTTTACACCCCACCTTGTATTATTTATTTGATGTCTTAGTTTACATCATTTTATTTTGTGTATCCCTTAACTAATTACTGAAGATATAACTGATATTACTACTTTTGTCTTTTAACTTTCATACTGGCTTTATAATAGTGATTGATCTATTACCTCTACTGTATGTTTGCTTTTACCAATAAAACTTGTATTTTTTAAAGATTTTATTTATTTCAGAGAGAGAGCAGGAGAAGGGTAGAAGAAGCAAGCTTCCCACGGAGCAGGGAGCCTGATGCGGGGCTCGATCCCAGGACCCCGGGTTCATGACCTGGGCCGAAGGCAGATGCTTAACCAACTGAGCCACCCAGGCGCCCCCCAATAAATCTTCCTTTCATAAATTTTTTTTATTTCTACTTATGGCCTTTCCTTTTTTTTTTTTTTAAGCTTTTTTTTATTGGGGCACCTGGGTGCCTTATTCATTAAGCGTTTGCCTTCGGCTCAGGTCATGATCCCAGGGTCCTGGGATCGAGCCCCGTGTCGGGCTCCCTGCTCTGTGGGCAGCCTGTTTCTCCCTCTCCCTGTTCCCCTGCCTATGATCCTGCTCTCACTGTGTCTCTCTCTGTCAAATAAATAAATAAATAAAATCTTAAAAAAAAAAAGTTTTTATTTATTTATTTGACAGAGACAGCCAGAGAGAGAGAACACAAGCAGGGTAAGTGGGAGAGAGCGAAGAAGGCTTCCTGCTGAGCAGGGAGCCTGATGTGGGGCTCGATCCCAGGACCCTGGAATCATGTCCTGAGTTGAAGGCAGATGCTTAATGACTGAGCCACCCAGGCACCCCTCCTTTTATTTTTTTTTTTAATTTTAATTTATTTATGAGAGAGAGAGGGAGCAGAGCAAGCAAGAGAGAACACAAGTGGGACAGGAGGGCCAGAGGGAAAGGGAGAAGCAGGCTCCCTGAGCAGGGGGCCTAATGTGGGGCTCGATCCTAGGAGGTCCCTTAACCTATCCTCATTTTTAAAATTCTTTTTTTTCTTTGGGCTTGGAGGATTTCTACTACCCTGTCTTGCAGATCACTGGTCTGTTCTGCAGCTTTCAATCTGCTGTTGATTCCCTCTGGTGTATTTTTCATTTCAGTTATTGTAGTCTTTAGCTCTGATTAGTTCTTCTTCTTATGTTCTCTTTGTTGAAGTTCTCACTGAATCCATCCATTCTCCTCCCAAGTTTGCTGAGCATCTTTATGACCATTACTTTGAACTCTTTATCAGGTAGACTACTTATCTCTGTTTCATTTAGTTATTTTTCTGAAGTGCTGTATTGTTCGTTCATTTGGAACATACTCCTCTGTCTCCTCATTTTGTCTGACTTTCTATGTTTGTTTCTGAAATTGTTCTTTTCAACTTTTTCCCTCTTTAAAGTATGTTGCTTTGAAGAATGAATGTTAGTTGTAAAGTCAAGGAAGAAGAAAACATGTCTAAGTGTTGTCTGGTCATTTTTCTTGTTGGAACTGTGGTGGAGTAGGTGGCAGATGACATTGCTGCTCTTTTTCTGAGTTGAGAACACAGGAGTCAGACAGATGGAGATAAGCTTAGTAACTTTATTACTAATACATACTAACAAATAGGAGGATATGGTTTAGGTAGGTAGCCACAGCGGGCTTCCCAGTACTTTATCCCAAATTAGGCACTTCCACACACAGTTGTAATGGAAGGAACAAATGTTTGATGCCCATCCCACAAAGATGAGAGCAGACTTGAATTCATGCTACTATGGCAGGCACATCTTTTTAAAGAAGAGATTTGGAACCATGTATGCATTGCTTAGTGCCTTCTCCCAAATTCACCCTTTAGGTAAATCTCCCTTCCTGTCGTGAGGAAGGTAGAGAAAAGTCCTCACATGGAAATGAAGGTTTACCTATAATTTCTGACTTGATTTAAATTCTAATTAAAGTTAATCATGTCTTTTGTACATACCAACTAATGATGAGAGGTTGGACAGAGCATGCTAGATGGTAAAGAGAAATCTGTTGTGCATTTTAAATTTTGCTATAAATAACCCACAACATAGGTAACTCATTTGTTGATTGATTTGGATAAACCAAGTTTTATTTGAAGGAAATGAATAATCCTTTCAAGGAAGAATTTCCTCAGTTTCAGGTTCTTTGGTTCGACTAAAGATTTTCTCCTTCAAGTTCCTTGTCCTTTGGTTAAAAAAATTTGTGCTTATAAATTGCGTATGTTGACTGTTACTAACAGGAGTTAAGATAATTTCTGTCCCTTTCTTTTTGTTCATGACTTTAAAATTTATACTTTAGTTAGAAAGCTATTTTGTGCCTAATGCCTGAACATTATTGAGCCACATGACAAAGTTTTATGTATTCATATTCTCTGAGTTATAGTTAAAAATGCATGCATTGTTCCTGAATATGAGGAAGTAACTGGCATAAAACTCTAGGCTCAGTAAGACCTAAACCACATTCCTGGCTTGCAGCCAGGTGGTTTTTTGACCTCAGGCAAACTACAATCTTTCTGGATCCTTTTTCTCTCTTATGTAAAATTAGGGACTTTGACGTAGTTAGTGACTTTTATACCTTTGGAAAAACTTTTTTTCCAAAGAATGGAACTTAAATTTTTGGTTTTTTTGCATTAAACTGTATTATATAAAACAGAGACACGTAGAGCTGTTTAGCTAAAGGAGAGATGAGACTACACCTATAAACTTCCTTGTACCTCAATCCTGCTGTGTCCCCAGTGGAACCGTAGATTTCTATGGGCATAGTTTGAAAAGTAACAGTTATGAGAAAATCCTTTTAGTTAATAATTCTTCAAATTAAAATTTGCTGATACATTGTACGTTGTTTTTCTGTGTGTAATTTTCTTACCCTCCTATATTTTTGATAAATGGAAAAGTATAAATAAAATTGCAGATGTGTTCTATTTATTAAGGACTTCAAACTATTTCTACTATCTAAGCACAATTCTTACCTGGAAATAAAGGTCACAGAAGTAAATATTTAGGAAAAGAGCTTTTGGGGAAAAGATAGTAACATTACATTGGTAGTTCCTTAAGTCACGTCATATGAAAAAGTGCTTTGTATTTTACATAGTATTTATTAATGGTATTATAAAATTGTTTCAATAAAAATTTCTACCATCAAGTGGTATTGAGTTATTAATTTTACAAGGCCTGTCTAGTAGTGTTGTCAGATTATTCGTTTTATAAATCCTGAATATAATGTTACTGTCAAAAAGTGTCATGGTTCC